TTTGTGTGTGTGTGTGCATTTATATTAAAGCTTGTTTGTAGGTCTATGAAATGTTTATATTTGTTTTATTTAATAAGAGCCTACATTACAACTTTAAAAAAAAAACATTTTGGACCACTTCTCTTGTCTCGATCTAACACTCAGGTTTGTGTTTTAAAAAAAAATGTGTGAAGATTCAGCGAAAAAAAAAACTAATTTAGAAAAGTAGAGTGTTTGATTTTTATTCATTTTGTTGGAATGGTAGGGTAATCAAATTTCTACTTCGCCTGCTACTGTTTATATTAGGTCCAGTGTTTCTTCCAGACTTTTTTCTCCGGGGGGGGGGATGCACTTGAAATCTTCGGGGGGGGGGGGGGGGGTAAACTTTCTTCGGGGGGGGGGGCGGACACTGTTAAAAGTATATATATAAATTTTATTATTTCGTTCGGGGAGATGCCTGGAAAAAACTCTGATTGGGTCTCGGTTTTTTTTTAATAATCTAATATTAAAGGGAATTAACATTTTTGTTCACGGTGCTTTCCCTTGTTTAAATATTTTCCTGAATAACTAGCTTTACCATTCGATGTAGAATCAAATAGCAATTTTTGACTCAGTGTTTCTTTTAACTTTTTTCTCCTTGGGGGGGGGGGGGGGAGCACTTGAAATTTATTTATTTTTGGGGAGGGGTGGACAGACACTGGTAAAAGTATATATTTTCTTTCTCCGTGGGGGGGGGGGGGGCACTTGATATTTATTTATTTTTGGGGAGGGGTGGACAGACACTCGTAAAAGTATATATTTTCTATATAAATTCTATTTTGTTCGGGGCGGTGGGTGGTAGACTTTCTTTGGGAGGGGGGAGGGCAGAGCCCTCCTGAAGAGATGCCAGGAAGAAACTCTAGTTGGACCACTCCTGAAGATTTCAACTCACAAATCCATACATTTAAGCTGCATAGTTTGTAATTCCTTCTTCCACAGGGCCCCTGTCCAGTGCATTGACCAATCGCTATGGCTGTAGACCAGTGACCATAGCTGGAGCCATCATAGCAGGAGCTGGCTTCATACTCAGCGCCTGGGCGCCGAACCTCTACTACCTCTACTTCACGGCTGGCATAATGGCAGGTTCCTACAGATCTTTTGTTTCGTTACTTTTAGATTCTAGTTTTACATCTTGCATTCATTTATTCTTAACTATCAACATAGATCTAGTAAGTTGAAACTATTTGAAAAATTAATTTTTAAAAAGGTTTTTTTTAAATAACATGCACACAAAAAATCTGTTATCTAAATTATTTTTTAATAGTTTGAAATTAGTTTCTCAGTTCAGAGTTGGAACTTATTTAGTTGTTTTTGTTTTTGTATTTTATAACAATGTTTTTTTTTATATATTTATGCTAATTACATTTTGTGAAAGTTTCGAAAGAAAAAATACTAAGATAGTCTTAGTTAGCTTGAAGACGCTACTACAACTAGATCTAGATCTAAGTCTAAATTTAAATAAATTTCAAAATGATTACAAAGCTTACTTTATATATTTAATGATAGATATAATTCATTGTACTAGAAATTACAAAGTAAACCTTATTAATTATTAATTTTTTTATTATCAATTTATTATTCAAAAACCTATTTAACAAAGTAAGTGTGACATTGTTATAGATAAGTGAAGCTAAGAGTCACATTCTTTATTCATTAATACACCAACCATTCAATGCCCAATCATTAATACACCAACCATTCAATGCCCAATCATTAATACACCAACCATTCAATGCCCAATCGTTAATACACCAACCATTCAATGCCCAATCATTAATACACCAACCATTCAATGCCCAATCATTAATACACTAACCATTCAATGTCCAATCATTAATACACCAACCATCCATGCCCAATCATTAATACACTAACCATTCAATGTCCAATCATTAATGCACCAACCATTCATGCCCAATCATTAATACACCAACCATTCAATGCCCAATCATTAATGCACCAACCATTCATGCCCAATCATTAATACACCAACCATGCAATGCCCAATCATTAATACACCAACCATGCAATGCCCAATCATTAATACACCAACCATTCAATGCCCAATCATTAATACACCAACCATTCAATACCCAATCATTAATACACTAACCATTCAATGTCCAATCATTAATGCACCAACCATTCATGCCCAATCATTAATACACCAACCATTCAATGCCCAATCATTACTACACCAACCATCCATGCCCAATCATTAATACACCAACCATGCAATGCCCAATCATTAATACACCAACCATTCAATGCCCAATCATTAATACACCAACCAGTCAATGCCCAATCACTAATACACCAACCATTCAGTGCCCAATCACTAATTCACCAACCAGTCAATGCCCAATCACTAATACACCAACCATTCAATGCCCAATCATTAATACACCAACCATTCAATGCCCAATCATTAATACACCAACCATGCAATGCCCAATCATTAATACACCAACCATTCAATGCCCAATCATTAATACACCAACCATTCAATACCCAATCATTAATACACTAACCATTCAATGTCCAATCATTAATGCACCAACCATTCATGCCCAATCATTAATACACCAACCATTCAATGCCCAATCATTAATATACCAACCATTCAATGTCCAATCACTAATACACCAACCATTCAATGCCCAATCATTAATACTCCAACCATTCAATGCTCAATCATTAATACACCAACCATTCAATGCTCAATACACCAACCATCAAATGCCCAATCATTAATACACCAAACATTAAATTCCAAATCTCTAATACACCAACCATTCAATACCCAATCATTAATACACCAACCATCAAATGTCCTATATCCCTAAGAACCAGACAATGGAGTGTTTGAAGGTATTTCTCTCTTGTTACTGGCATCAATCTAGTCTGTGATTTTCTTCATCCTTACACAGGTGTTGGCTTCGGTCTGATCTACCTGCCCGCTATTGTGTGTGTGGCCCAGTACTTTGAAAAGAGGCGCTCGTTCGCCACTGGCCTGGCAGTGTGTGGGTCAGGGTTCGGAACCTTCATCCTCGCCCCCGTCACAGAAATATTAGTGCATGAGTACCAGTGGAGTGGGGCTATGTTGATCCTTGGTGGCATTATTCTCAATGTTATAGCCTGTGGAATCATATTCCGCCCGCTTGAGGCCCCGTTCCCTGAAACTGGGAAGAATTTACCTGGGAGTGAAAGCGAGGCGTTAATTCCGGATATTTCAGATAGTTTGAATGACACTACCAAGAACAGTGTGGCTGTTGAGGAGATAGAGCTGATAGTGGATAAAAACTTTAGCACAGCTCAACAAGCTGGGGACGGAGAATTTAAAGAGAAGGATGGACAACTCTCAGCTGATGAAGGCTTGCAGCTGATTGCCAACTTGCAGAAGAAAAATGCCCTGCCAAGTGGGACGCCTAAGTTTATAAATAACACAAAAACAAACCAAGCTAAAGAACATTCTCTTTCGTTAAGCTTACCCAACAAGAACGCCCTGAACAATAGTTTAGCCCGTAATATTTCAACCAACAACACAAAAGACGAGCCAGTCAGTGACAGTGAGAGCCAGCCAGAGACCACATCAACAGATGTCACAAGCTCTTTAAATACTTCCCAACCAACAGACTCTTCCAAAGTAAAAATATACACCGAGGTCAACGGAGTCTCCAAGAACAGAGGGACAAAAGAAGGGAATAACATTGTCTACCTGAGTGTCAGTCAGTGCATCACAGGTAACAGTGACTTCGCTGACAACCCTGCGGCCATGGCTTGTTCCGACAGTGCCTTAAACCGACAGCTGCCGTCACACGACAGCGAAGGTACGGCAGTCAAACGACGATCCAAACGGCTTAGCGAATCATCCACATCATCACACCTGGCGCCTCTCAGCCGCAAGGACATCTTCTACAGTGGCAGCCTGCAGAACATCCCCATGTACAGGTCCCACCCTGATGTCTACAAAACCACAGTCACCTCAACCTCAGAGAAACAAGAGACTGAGCTGGACAGTTCCAAAGAAAAAGGGGGCTTTGCCGTCCTCAGTGAATTCAGACGCACAATGAAGGACATGTTGTCACTGTCTTTGTTGAAAAACCCTGTCTTTCTCATGTTTGCTGTCTCCAACTTCTTCACTAGCATAGGATTCAATATGCCTTTTATTTTTCTCCCTGACAGGTGAGCTGTGTTCAATAAAATAAATACTCATTTAACCATTCACTTTTACTTTATTGAGGACAGTTAAATTTTTTAACATTGTTCTCTTTAGGCTACTGTGTGGCTTTTGAATTTGTGTTACTTTAGGTTCAAAAAATTTTTAAAAGTGAAGTTCCCTTTTTGAACCTGACTATCCAAGAGAGAAGTGAAGTAGAGTTCACCTGTTATTTTAGGTTAAAGCTGAATTTATTTTTTAAAATAGCAATATTTAATTCAACATGGAAAATATGCAGGCTTAAATATTGAAACTACTGCTTATTTATGTTACAGTAATCAAAAACAAAAGCTAAGAGCAAAGGTTTCATAACTAAATAATAAATTACCATAACAACTAAAATATTGAAACTTAATTTAAAAATAAATACATTACCATTATTCCTTTAACGGATTACCATTTCATTGTCTGTTTTGGCATGCACAGTTGTTCTTTTTTCATTCAAAGTTATCCCTTAAAACATGTCAGCCATTATTTTTTGCCAACCTTTATAAGAAGCTCTAAGGAAACTCCAGAAACTTTTGCTTTCCACAGAGCAAAGTTGGCTGGAATCGATGCAGATAAAGCCGCTCTGTTGTTGTCTGTGATTGGCATAGCTAACACAGCTGGCAGGGTCATCTTTGGTTTCCTTTCCGACCGACCTTGGGTCAATCGTCTGTTCCTCTACAACACGGCCTTGACCATCTGTGGCGCCGCTACGGCCCTGAGCCCGGTCCTGGGTGGTACCTATGGGCTTCTAGTGGCCTATGCAGCAGTGTTTGGTGTCTTTATTGGTGAGTACTATAGGATGTTGGTATTCTGTTAGAGCAGTGCTAACAACAGGCAAGAGACTAGCTCTCTGATCAATAGTACATGTACAATAGATTTCTACTAATGATACTACCTGATAGGACAACTTGTTATTTTTATGTCTCGTGTTTACGTTAGTTTAACAAAAATATTCTTAAATTACTTGAAAATTGGTACACAATATAATTTAAATTATGTAAAATCTATCTATAAATTAATTCTATTCAAACCATACTATTATAAATACTGTTTTCATTATTAATAAATTTTGAATCAACTAACAACATAAAATCAGAAATGTAATAACTCAATGCTGTTTGATTTAAAATTTGGACCATATTTTTTAAACTCATCTTCCAGGTGTGTATGTGTCTCTGACATCAGTTGTGTTGGTTGACTTGTTAGGCCTGGATTTCTTGACCAACTCATTTGGTCTTTTGCTGCTTTTCCAAGGGGCAGCAACTTTTATTGGCCCACCTATTGCAGGTAAATAGAAATTATCTACCCTGCTTTTTTCCAGATTTTTTTTCCCCACTTTATTACTAAAAGCAAAAAAAAAATTAGATTTTAATTTTAATTCTAACCCAAGCGTCATCGGTGATTAGTAATTTAGATTTTATTTAAGGACTTGCAATCTACAAAGTTATGAGCTATTAGTTTTGTATATCTTATTCTTAATCAATTGTAAGTGAAGTTTTATGTATGTATTTATTAAAAAATAATTTTCTCTTCAGGTTGGCTGTGTGACTGGACAGGAAGTTATGATATTTCTTTTATTGTGATGGGGATCCTGATAGCACTCAGTGGATGTATGCTGTATCTCTTGCCCCTGGTCCAGCGCCACTGTGAAAATAAAATTACAAAAGATCGTCTCGCACATGACGTAGAGATGGGCAAACATCCTGTTACAGACAAAGAGACAATGATTGGTATAGAAATGACTTCTAATTCTGAAAGTTGAAAACAAAAAGATTATTAATAGTTACTTAAGTAAAGATACTTCTAGGTTATATACATTTTTATTTTTTTTGCATCAAGTTTTTGCAAAAACTAAAAATACTATGAGGATTTTTTTTTTGTCTTTAAATGTTTCATGTCCAATTATATTAAACTGTCTTAGATTACTGAAAGTATAATCATATGCAGTTATGGTCAATAAAGTGAGAGTAGTCAATGTTGTTACTTTTTAAACGCAATGAAAGGACTTGTACTGTTGTTATATGAGGGATGGAAGTGGGCATTAGTCTGAGTAATATTAAGCATTTAGTATTTTACCAGGTTATCATGAAACAAAGTTAAAGGGGAGAGAAGCAGCCATGCTACACATGTTAAATATCACTCTTCTGTTCTGGTGTTAAAAAACATGGACCTTAGTGTTACTACTGATATTTGCTTTCCCTTTATTATTTGCTGATATAGCTAACAAAAAAAATTAAACAAAGCTACTAATAATATTAAAATAAAGTTATTTTTTTGTTTACCTCTATGAGTGTTAGCAAAAAAAAACCTAAATCAAACAGGGAATATTGTTTATTATAATGCCTTATGTAAAGTGACCTTTACTTTTGATATTTTCTAAAAATACAACTACTTCCTGCTTTGATTCATCTATATTATCATACAAGCAGATAATAATTCACTATTACAATTTCACAATTATTTTACTAGAGCAGAAAAAGCATTTTAGTAGTAGTTTTATTTTAATTTAATGATTTTTTATTACCTTAAAATAAAAACCTGAGTAGTCCTGTTTTAAACATGGCATATTATTTTGTTTTAAAATGTATAAAGATCACTAAGTTCATTTGTCCTGAGTTTTATCCCGAGATCCCTTGCATTCATAATGCATTTACAACCTATTTGAAATAGTATTGATTTATTTGGGGAAAAAATAAGTTAATTAAGTTTAGCCAGATTTTCGTTGGTTAGAATATCTTAACCTTTTTTATTTGCTGAATTACTTTAACCAAAAACTCTATTGGTTGAAATAATTTTTGCCAAGATTTTCTTTATAATAATATGGAGACATGATTTTACTGCCTTTTTAATCAAGTGTATTTTACTTTTACATTTTTGATATTTTGCTGGAACAAACATTAAAAGAACACAATTTTTACAACTTGTAAGCATTATGTTCAAATAATTATGTATGGAACTATTGTTAATTGATCAACTCAACTGTTTTAGCAAAAATTACCATACAAGTAAAACAACTAGTCAAGCATCTTCATCACCATTTTTAATAAACAGACTTCCGGTTTAAAATATATTGATTTATTATATGCATATAATCAAATACACACAAAATTATCTTTCTTTACATTTTAAAATATCAGTTTTTAATAAAAGTAGCTTTATATGGTTTTAAAACGCAGTCTTATTAAATGTTCTTTTTTAAAATATCTACATTATGAGAGGTTTGTTCTGTTTTTATCTCACGAAATAATTTACAATTTTTATAATGGTATAAATATGTATGGTTCAGTATGAAAAAAAACATGTCCATTGTCAATGTAATTCTGTTGCCTCATTGTGTCATTTAGTATTTTATGGGAATTTGCTCAGTCATATTTGTGAAATTTATATTAATGCCTATAGAAATTAAATTTTGTATCAGTACAGTTTTATAAGTCTGTCATTCAATTTATTCATTTTTAAAATGGTTTACACTTTTCAAAAAATGTGTAAATGGACAAGATGCACAAATCTTTACTTTTAGTGATGGCTAGTACAGGACTTTGTGACAGGTTGAATTTATTTCTGAGAAGTTTCTTAAGATGGTAAGTTTGAAAGAATTTGTTTTTAAACTAACCATCAAAATAAATTTTAAAAAACATACATAAGGTGGGGTGTAGTGGGGGGGGGGGGGGGGGGGCACTTATTAACTACTACTAATTTCCTATAGAAAATACTTTATAAATTCTAGAACAAAAACATCATTATTATATCAAACTATACATGTTCATACAAAACTAGTCTTTGTGTTATTTTACTCATTGAATGATAACTCATCATTCATGTTTATCTTGCCGAATACAGACTTTAGTTTTTCAAAAAGCGGAACAATTATAACACTAAAAAACTAGAGCCATGGAATGATGGGAGAATTCTTTGGGAATTGATTAATAAAAATCTCAGGAATTAAATCCTACATTCCAGAAGTTTTAATTCAACTTTTTAATTTTATCTCACAAAAAAATACATATTTTTATCTGAAGAAATCAATGCAGCAATTAAAATTCTGGAGCTTTTGTTTTAATTGTATGGGTGTCTGCTTCTTATATCACTAGGCTATCTTAGAGACCCAGCAACTGTACAACAAAAAACTTTCAGTTAGAACTGTAAAACGAGCGGATCATCTTATGAGTGCTAATTTGGGTCAATCCATGTTAGGATATTGTATAGGCTTGTATTGTGAACAGGTTTAAGAGACCTGTTTCAGTTTATGGGGCATTGAAACTAATTATTAGATGTGTTTTTAAAAAAATTTAAGTGCATTTATTTGGGGTTTCTTAATTATAATTCTCAACCGTTTTCACGTTTTGAATGTTAATGAAGAAGTGAAGATGAATATTCTGCCAACCAAGTCATTACTCATTACTGCTTGTCTGCTGTAGATTTTAAGGTTGTCTTAATGCAAGGAAAACATACTTATTTAGTAGCCAACTGTTAGCTTAATTTCTGAATTATATTATATGTGTCCCATTTCATGCATTTTAAAAAATTTTAGAAGACATTTTAGAATTTGATCATAGCTGATTAAAAGTGTTTCTTATAATTGTTACTTGTACATTTTTTTAATGGTTTTACTTTTACAGTAAACTTTCATATACAGATTGTCTATCACAAAGTCTAAATCCGCTACTCTTATTGACACACTTTTGAGTGTGGTCATTTAAGACTAAGAATGTAATGTTTTCTATGATGGCTTAAAATAAATAGGGCCTACATTGATAAATGTTTTTGTTATAATTGTATTCTATAGCTATCTTCTCAGTGAATGTTTTATTACATTAAGTTTTATAACAGAAAACCAATACAATGTTGTTTTACATATTTTATTGCACAACGCAAAATATATTATTTTTTAGTATAATTTGACATTACACTTGCTTATGATAATTGTGAAAATAATGTATGTGCATTTGGAAAAAAAAAATACAATAATAAAAATAATATGAAAGATAAAATTTCATTGTTGACTTTTTAATGGGTTTTTTCAGTAGCACTATAGTTAAATAATACCCATTTTAATAAAACTTGTATGCCAAACAAAATCATTTAACAACTAGCAGCAAAGCCTGGCAAATGACAGCAGAGGCGTCGCGGGGCAGGGGGTGCGGACCGCACCAGGTGACACCATTTAGGGGTGGGGGTGACACCATGAGGTGCAGCACCGGTTACACCCTACCTAGAAACGCCACTGGATGACAGGCATAACAAGGAGAAAAACCAAAATATAAATCTGAAACATCATTTCATTATCAGTTACCCTACCAAGTAAACATCTTATTTTAAACTAATTTATTTTGTAAAAACTGCATTAAATTGCATTAGATTCATATATCAGATGTTATCCTTGATTGTTTAGTTAGGCTAAAGAATTTTGATTATGTCGCTGCAAACAAGACTGTTGAAAATATCGGTAAATAATTTTGACCCATTGGTTTAGAGGAAGTGAAAAGAGCAGTATATATATATATATATATTATATATATATATATATATATATATATATATATATATATATATATATATATATATATATATATATAATGAAACACTAAATTTGTGTCTCACAAATGTCACAAATAAATGCCCCTCTTGCTGGTCCCTCTTCTCTACCCCCGCCCCCGGAAAATAGTGCTTCGTCCGTCCTTCCCGTGCCCCGTCCTCCCCCACCCCCACCCTCTTCGGAGAGAAGTCTAAAATAAACACTGATCTAGTATTATGTAGATCTACGCCTATAGTTTTTAAATAATCAATACAGTGTCATAAGTGACACATATTATCAAGATAACTTACAATATTAAGTATTAATAAAATATTTAGGACCTACACGTATAATTCGTCAAAACGGCCCCGACAAATCGGCCCCGACATAAGAGCACCGTCAAATCGACCCCGTCAAAAGGGCCAGAGACATTTAGACTCCCGACAAAAGGGCTCCCGTCATTTAGGCTGCCGAAAAAAAAAGGACTACTGACAATACGGTTTCCATAGAGACTAAGTCTCCATGCAAAACGGTCTCATTGATAATGACACCTGCCAGTGGGACCCCTTCATCAATATCCTTTAGAGTTAGCTTATCCAACACTCTTAAGTAATACAACGTATGCATCTCTTTTTGGCAGGCCTTATTTTTATAATAGTTTATCTATTATAAGAAATAGTATGTTTTAATTTAAGGGTAACCTATATAATGACTTCCATAAATGAGTCGGTTATAGGCTGTTCCAACTCAGTGTGTGGGGAGAGGGGTCCACGCTTTACATTCCTACCAGCTGTATGCTTGTAAGTTATCATAACAAAATGTCGTTATCTTGTAAAAATCGTTTATATCATATATTTACACTTATGTGCTCGCTTTTAAGCAACAGATCTTTACTGTTGTAAATTAAACACTATCAAAAATTTTAGAATTGGTGGAATTTAGCTGTTAAGGGCTAGATTTGTTTGTGAATCGATGCTGGATCATGAAAAACAATTTCCTTCGTGCATTTAAAAGATGCTATAGTGGTAGTGGATGTAGGACAAAATGGTTACTTTTATGCCAATAGTGGTCATACTATTCATTTGTCTGGAGCCAATATGTCGGGAGGCCATATGTTGAGACCCATTTGTCGTGAGCCTTTTGTCGCGAGCCAATATGTTCTGAGCCTATTTGTCGGGAGCCATTATGTCGCGAGTCAATATGACGGGAACCTATGTCGCGAGTCAATATGACTGACAGTTTTATCCAGGCATCTCTCCGGGGAGGGGGCCCAGTGTTTTTCCAGACATTTTTCTCCGGGGGGGAGAAAATTTTGAAATTTTCGGGGGGGGGGGGGCGGTAGACCTTCTTCGGGGGGGGGGGGCGGACACTGGTAAAAGTATATATTTTCTATATAAATTATATAAATTTCATTTCGTTCGGGGGGAGCGGTAAAAAATTTCGGGGGGGGGGGGGGTTCGCCCCCCTCCGAAGAGATGCCTGGAAAAACTCTGAGGGGCCGAAGAACCCCCCCCCCCCCATATTAACGGGGCCATTTTGACGGGGCCGATTTGTCCCATGCAGTTTGACCGTGCACCGTATAATTTCATAACTAGCCGACCTATCATGTATATTTTAATCAATTTGTCACTTCTGAGCATGAAGCCACGTGATTTAGATCATGTGATTGCTTTTAATTTATCACGTGATCACTAGGACAACGTTTGTATTGAAAATAAATAAATACAGATTGAGATTATTTATCTAGGCTAAATCAGAGTAAATCAAGGTAGTCTAGGACTTTGACTTAGAGCTTCTAGTCTAAGCTATCAGAATTTATATTTATTTTAATATATAGATATAGTAATTATAAAACTAGCGGTCTTTTTCAAGATTATAAAATTCAGATACGGTAAGGCCTGTGTAAACTCACAAACTGTAAGGTCCAGTAAGACGAGTAAGTTGAGTACAATAAAGTCACAAAAGTGCAGTAAGGTTGAGTAAGCCACTAGATCTAGATTTAAATCTAGTACTAGATTTAGTCTAGATCTAGCCGTAGACCCGTAGAGTAGACGGTAGTTACTAACGTACTACGGGTCTACGGCTAGTTAGTTACGTTAGTTAGTAATTTTAATTGAAGTTTCTAGATTTCTAGATCTAACATTCTAGATTGTAGTTAGGATCGTTACTAGAGTATTAGTCTATTTACTAAATTTAGTGACTATTAATAGTATTAATTAGTCTATTAGCGACAAAAGCTTTTATTAAAGAAAGTAGATACATTTTAAATTAGTTTTATTTGCTTAGCCGTAGCCTATTATTTAATAATATTATTTTATTTAATATTAAAGTTATATATTTTCTATATAAATTCCAGGTAATCTATCGTTTTAGGTACATAAAATCACCCGCGACTAGTAATGTGAAAAACAGTTGACTCCTTAAATTTTAATAATTATTTCACATTTTGAGGACGATTTATGTTTTGAAAAATACAAAAATGTTTCCTTGTTTCATTTATGTACCTGTTTTCAAACAATTGAATTAAACTTTTCAGTAATAAATGAAGACTAGCGATGTTTCCAACAGATGCAACCATGCTCATTTACTATAGCAGCCATCTTGATGAAATTTTTTTTTGTAAACTTACAGCGCGAGATCCAGGGAAAGCCACTCTATTTTACAAATGGCTGCTGTTTAAATAGCAAATCTTGCTCGCAAACACTGCTGTTTAAAGTTAATTTCTGGCCTATATTGATATATTTACTATTATTTAGCCATTGATTTAGGTTTATTATTCATTTATCTATATTATTTGACACAAATATACCTCAATATACTTCTATTAAAGCCTTGATAATGAGGTAACTTTTTCGTACATTACTAGCAGTGGGTGATTTTACGTACCTAAAACGATAGATTACCGAATTCCATTTCATTTGGGGGGGGGGGGGGGCGGGGCAGAGGCCCCCCAAGAGATGCCTGGAAGAAACTCTAGTTGGATAAAGGCTATGGAAGCAAATCCAAAAAGAAAGCAGGCTGAAATCGGAGTCAATGGCCTCAATTGCGCATAACCAGCTGACACGAATACTTAATTGTGTTGGAGGGGATCCCTTCCAACACTAAAATTAAGAATGAAGAAGAAGAAAAAGAACAGGTAGACCTAGACTAGACTAGAATAATCTAGATCACCTAGACTAGACTAAAATAATCTAGATCTAGGTAGGTGTACAATTTAAAAAGCATTTTTTAAGACTAGCTGCTAGACATTTGATGGATTTAGTTATGTTGATAGTTAATGCTTGTTAGTGTGTTAGAATTCCCCCCCCCCTACACAAGCACCTAATCTCAAACAACTAGCATTCTGCAATAATCCAATATGGTCCCATAATACCAACAGCACAGTAAACTCGTAGCACAATCATTTGTTTCTATTTCTAATCTAGATCCCCATTAACAAACCTACGGAATGGCTGTAACTCTTGCCCTGTGTTTGGCAGCTTTATCTGCTGTAACTGTCGTACTGTCTGCACCATCAGAAGATTTAATCACTGATTTGCCAGGTTTAACATGGAAGCCAAACTTTGAACAATATTCTGGATATTTAAATGGTGTTGGTACAAAGAGGCTTCATTACTGGTAGGTCTTTTGTCAGTTGCTTTATTAATTTTTATATCTTGATTTCAATTGTATGTAGATCTAAAATGCAGTGGATGGAAATGTAAGTATTTAAAATGCTACATTCCATGTATGATGTTTGAAAGCTAAAAAATAAATTTTTGTTGTAGGTTTGTACAATCCTCCAGCAACCCAAAAACTGACCCTGTTGTTCTGTGGATGAATGGTGGACCAGGTTGCAGCTCATTGCATGGCTTTCTTACAGAACATGGCCCATTTAGGGTTGGTAGTAAATTACAGACAGAAATTGGTTTTAAATATTAAAAAAATTTCTTAAGCTACTTTGTACCTTGTATTCTGGTGCTGACATATGGTTAATGATATGTGAATGATATGTGAATTATTTTTTCATTATTTTTTAGGCTCAACCTGATGGAGAATCTTTACTTCCAAATCCTTTTGCTTGGAACCAGGTACGTTGGCTAAACTTTTTAATTTATTTTTAAAAAAATATATATTTCAAAATTTAAACACCTGTGTTAGAGTTTAGAGCTTCATAGTTTGTTGTGTTTTGTAAACTAAAACATTTGACTGCTGAAAATAATGTTATTGCTACCGCATTGCAATTAATGCAAACATACTGCTTTAAAAAAATAATAAATGAAACAAAATATTTTTTTTATCATAAAACTCCATGAAGGTTATAAAATTGCACTATATTTTTACCTGTATGTATCTATCAAGGTGGCCAACATGATCTACCTTGAAGCACCAGCTGGTGTTGGCTTCTCTTATTCCCAAGACAGAAATTACTCAACAGACGATGATGATGTAAGGCAAAATTCTAATTACTTTTTTGCAATCAACGCAATTTCCACACCAACACATCTTCTTAACAAAGTCTTAATCTGAAATTAAGAGTAAATATCTTAATGAAAAGTATATTTCTAAAAGTTATCAAAATTTATTACTTTAAAACTTGATCTAAGTACAGCAAATAAAAACACAAGCTGATATGTTTTTATCATTTGCAGGTTGCCAGAAACAATCACCTGGCCCTGCAGGATTTCTTTAAAAAGTTTCCAGAATATTCCAGTAATGACTTTTATATCTCAGGGGAGAGCTATGGAGGGATTTATGTTCCAACTCTAGCTTCATTGGTTCTAGATGATCATTCAATCAAACTTAAGGTAGAATTTTATATACTTTTTAAACTTTTTACATTTCTCTTATGTATTGTATTGTAAAATAATCTATGAATCACAGCTAATATTCTTTAATATCTATTTTTATTTTCCTTTCTTTGCTTAGGGTTTTGTTGTTGGGAATGGCTTGTCTGATGACAACATGAATGACAACTCCATTGTATACTTCGCTTATTTTCATGGTCTGATTGGAGATGAGTAAGTATTAATTAGGATAATTTAACATAAAAAATGTGTACATTTTATGATTCCTATCTAGGCCTTTGAATTGAAATTAATGCATTGACTGAAGTTCTATTTTGAAAAAAAAAAACAGTATATACAATTTTTAATGTTTTTTTCCATTGGAGAAATTTGACTTGCCTCAAGTTATTAGAAAATTTACACTCATGTCATGCTCATATCTTTTCAGTTTTTGTAGTTTTCAAAAATCAACAAATTTATTTTTTCTAGAGACTGGAACAATATTTATACTTCATGCTGTTCTGGCAATACTTCAAAGGGTTACTGTGACTTTGTAGCTGGAAGTGCAAAGTCTTCTAAATGTGCCTCTGAGGTAGTCACTTTTATTTAAAATATAAATATATATTAACAATTTTAAAAAGCTTATGTCATTTTTTTTTACAAAAGGAATTTCTCAAAATTGGAATTTCTGTATTCAAATAAATAAAACTAAAAACTTCTTTTTTTAAAGAAGATAAATTGTAATTTGGGGTGGTCTCTACATTAATGTGTGTTATTGAACCAATTTTTACATTTTTTAACCTCACAGCTGAGTCAGGTTCAAATTTTAGTTTGGAGTTCTGGGCTGAATGTGTACAACCTTTATGCTGATTGTGCTGGGGGCGTCAGAGATCTTATGCTCCACTACGATGAGGACAGAAATAAATTTGTCACTAGTAACTTTGGATGGCTGTTCATGTTTTTGAAAAACAAAAATTACGAGGTAAACTTGTGGTTCCTACTTAATGGATTGACATTTGATTGAGTGTTTTGATGTTTATATTTAAATCATTTTTTTTTTGGCAATTTATTTTAGAAACTTAGTGAGATTCCTCTAAGTAAATTGGAATCAACACCTCCTTGTGTCAATGACTCCTATGTAGTCAAGTATTTGAACTCTGCACCAGTAAAGAGTGCGCTGCACATTTCTAATGATGCTGGAGACTGGGATGTATGCAGGTGGGTCAACACCTAACCCTTTACTGACTAAATTACTTAATCCTAATAATCCTAACCCTATACTGACTAAATTACTTACTTAATCCTAATAATCCTAACCCTTTACTGACTAAATTACTTAATCCTAATAATCCTAACCCTATACTGACTAAATTACTTAATCCTAATAATCTAAACCTTTACTGACTAAATTACTTAATCCTAATAATCCTAACCCTATACCTACTAAATTACTTAATCCTAATAATCCTAACCCTATACTGACTAAATTACTTAATCCTAATAATCCTAACCCTATACTGACTAAATCTAACCCTCAACTACTGTTTGCTAATATGACAATTATTATTTCAGTTCTATTGTAGGAGCAGGATATCAAAGAAATTATAACACAATGGGCCCCCAGTATCAAAAAGCTATCAGTAGGAAGGTGAGCTGCAAAATTTTTTCTACACATCTATGTATCAGCGCATATTATTTATTATGGCGAAACTTTAAAATTTAATTTCCTTATCAAACAGATGCGCATCTTAGTGTACAATGGGGATGTTGATATGGCATGCAACTTCCTTGGTGATGAATGGTTTGTGGATTCCCTCCATGTCTCAGTAAGTGATTTATGAATGGTTTGTGGATTCCCCCCATGTATCAGTAAGTGATTTATGAATGGTTTGTGGATTCCCTCCATGTCTCAGTAAATGATTTATGAATGGTTTGTGGATTCCCTCTGTTTAAGTGATTTTATTTGGTTTTAACTCAACAATTTTTTCACTGCTCTACATTTTTGCAATAACTGAAATTAATCTTACTAAGACTACTAAATTATGGTGATTGTTGTTATGCAACTGTTGCTAAAAAGGCATCACACCAATCATAAAGATTTTGTGTTATTTTTTAAAATTTTACTTGAGGGACTGTAGATTTTATGGAATTAACATTTGTAAAAATGAAACATTTCAGAATCCACAAGAGAGGAGAAAGTGGTATTACAAAGCACAGGATGGAACAAAACAAGTTGGGGGTTTTGTTAAAGTATTTGACAGAGTTGCATTCCTTACTGTTAGGGTGAGATATTTTTTTTGTGATATTGTTCCATCAGTCAGGTAAACTCTTTATTAGTCATGTGCTGTAGCCAGATTTTTGTTTGTCACGGCCTGGATGATGCATCAGTTTGTTGACCTAAATGTGTCACACTATCAGGGCTCTTTGGTTATGTGGCCTACATTGATAAGAATCTTGTTTTTAAACTGGTGATAAAATTTTGCTCCAATTCTTACTGCACACAAGATTAAGATTTCATCCTTGCATTCAGGCAGAGCTGCATTTATGTCTAAGCTAAACAAGATATAGCTTAGGGCCCCCACTTTCTTGAAGGCAACCCAGAATAATTTTTACATCTGCGGTGGAATTTTTCTCTACATTAACTCTTTCCACAACTGTTATTAAAAAACTCTTTTCTTTTTGGCTGTAAACTTTGCAAATATTTGACACTGACATCTGGACTTATGAAAGGGCCTCTTATTGAAAATAGATTAGGGCCTTATCAAGTCTAAATATGGCTCTGCACACAAGTAATTCTTAAAACATTTTAAGTTTCGCCAGCTCAAGGTTTTAGTTAAGATTGTCATAAAATTCTAATCCCATTCCCATAAGTAGTAACTGTTAAAAAAAATTTTTTTTTCAAATTTACTTTAACTTTAAAAAATCTTTTAATTTACCTTCTTACAGGGAGCAGGACATATGGTACCAACAGATCGTCCAAGACAGGCTTTAGAAATGTTTGTAAACTACATCCAAAACACACCATTTTAACGATAAATGGTATTAATGTCATCAGGCTCTAGTTGTTGATAAAAATGCAAATGTCTCATTGGTGATAATACCGTCCTGCCTGCCTTACACATCATTCAAGACATGTTTTCTGTAGCCTTCCATGTTATAATACCTGATCTTGTATCTCTTATATCTAGAGATCCTTAAGGGTACAATGTAAACACAAATATAGTTTTGACCTGTACTACATAATTAAATAAGTATTTAATACTCAGTTTTTTATTTACTATATAGTTAATCTGCTTTAAGTGATGTAAAAAGTATAGTTTAGTTTAAATTATGAAATAAATGACAGATCTGTGGTTTCATCTCTTGTTGCATGTTTTGTATTTTTTGCACTGAATTTTCAAGTGTTTTATCGAACAACTTAGTTTACTTTTTTTAAAAATAATTCTTCTTCAACATCTACAGTTAAAAAATGGAAATCTTTAACTCTATGGTAAATTTCTTCAACTTATGCATCAAGTTTTGTTTTAACCACTTTCTGTAGCATGACAAAATGGAATGGAGAATAAAAGATGAATTATGGATAACAAAATGCTTGAATTTCAAGGCTCTTTATACCTTTTGGTTGTTTCTTTAACATGATTCAATAGATTGCCACCATGAGCAATACATTTTGATGCTACTGTTCCCTAAGAGACTGATGAACCATTAAAAACAAAACTGGTTAGCTAATAGTTTTATTTTAAAAAGAACAGTAGCCAACACTTGACATAGTAATAACTGAACTAATGCACTGGTTTCATATTTTGCCCTAATTGTTTCAGACTAGACCGTAATTGTGCAAAATAAAATAAAACCTACATGTAGTAATCCAATTAATTTTTTTTGCATTAGCAAACTTTATTTGAGAAACAATCATCACATGATCATTGGCAACACATAAGGAATCCAACATTCTGTCTTTTGTTAAGCAAGGCAAAGTTTACTTTTTACAATGTGAGGCCAAACATTCAACTTCTCTTGTGGTGTGAATTTTAATGTCTAATCAATAGTCCTGTAATGATGGATGTAGCATCCTGAACCCATTGTATGAAAGACTTAACAATTCTTTTTTGGGATGTAGCGCATGTAACCAGTCTTAAGGCTCCTTCACACAGGTGACAAATATTATGCTAACATTAAAGAGCTTTTGTTCATCTCTTATGTCACAGTGAGCTCAACTGCAAAATACTTGTACATTAAAATACACACCTAGCAAGTTGCTATTTTGGTCCAACATATCAACTTTCAGCCACCAAAATACTAAATTAGCAACAAAGAATAGTGGGTTCAATTGTTCAAGCTATACAGCACATAAATGTCAGACATTCAGAAACAAGAGAAAACAATTACAGAACACTCAAGATACACAAAAGAACAATTTATAAAGCAAGACGTAGAATATACATATATATGTATATATAAAACATATCAATCTGTACACTGTATTTATTATGAAAATGAGAACTCATTAAATTATGTGATTGTAATAAAACTGATGTGCTTAATTTTTTTCTATCTATGATCATTTTAATAAATAATAAAAAAAAAAAAAAGAGCAAAAACTGCAATATCTGATAAGAAAAATGTTAACAAAAGATCACATTTCAAATGATGGCCAGTGTACAGAAAATGTGAGTGGATTCAACCAAAAACATTCTACTACAACAGCAGGTCCATCTGCACACACAAGCTGTACATCATAGAGATGGAGATACCAAGATAATATCCAGAGACAAAACTTGGCACAACTAATCCTACAATCAACTCTTGCAATTAAGTAGTTCAGTCTGGGGTATTTTTCTTTCTAAAGTTTATGATGTAAAGCCAACATGTTGGAAAAAGTATCAACCAAAAATTGTGTGGATCAAAACTTGTGAACCATATGAAAAATAAACTACTAATTCCATTTTAATATGTAGAAATCTACTACATGTAGGAGATAAACGATTTCTAATTCAACCATAAACTCTTTCTATATAAATGTGTAAGGAATGGAGATGAATACAATATTGTTCAAAGAGCAATAAACAGAACAATACATCATCGATTAGCGAAAAAAAAAAAAGAATGGCCAAACAGTAAATAAATTATTAAGTCTTTTGAGGAGAGCAGTTTCATCAACATGATATCTAAGTTGGTGAGTATACATTTGAATAAATTATTCTGTACTTACAACCTCAATTGTACACCCTTGGCAGTAACTTTACATTTTCATTATGTAAACAATACACATTTTCTTATTACTTTTGGAACGCAAAATGAAAAAATGTCATAAGCGAAGCAATAACCAAACCAAAGCTCAGAGCATACCTTCTGATTTGTTTGGATGATGACATCAATTATTTTCTTCCACTTTTGGTATGAAATGATTAGGTACAAAAATAGAATGCATGACACAAAAAGTGAAGTTTCCCTACCACATCTAATGGAAGGAGAAATTTGTTACTATGATGTTAAGTGAAAACACTTCCTCTTGCCATGCTTGCTTAACATTTATTTGATGTAGGACAGTTGTAAAAAAAGCATGGCTATTTTATGCCCTAGAATACAACAAAAAAATAAACTCATTGAAAATAATTTCATGTAACTATCAAAACCTTCAAGTGTAATGAAATTTCAAAAGTGGCATAAAATACATAGCAAATCTTCTAAACATTCCATTTCTGCAGATCCTCCCATTTAATTTTTAACATCTACATCTAAGACTACTACTTTCAATGTTTGGAATTCTTATGTTTCCTTGACACATTCCTTCTGATCACAAAATAAACCTGATAAGGATCAAGTTTCCAACGTCAGACTACAGTATTTACTGTGAAAATCTAGTAGGTTAACACTATTCAAGTTGTCCAAACATCAGTTTCATCCCTCCACTTCCCCAGTTTCCTGGTTATCATTGCTAGAAGTGGGGGCGTGTGATGGGGAAGGTGCTGGGGAGGAGCTTGGTGTCTGGTTTGGCAGGCGCTGTGTAGGCAGATGTTGCTTGATGTTGACATTGATGGGAGGGGAAGTTTGTGCTGGAGGGACGCCACCAACAGGACCAGAGCTGAGAGCTATATCATTGGCGATGTCAGGAGGGGAGACACCTCCGTGAAGATTTGATTGCATCTGTGGTTGTTGGGTGACAGCTGGCACAGGTGATGGTGAGATTTGAGCTGGAGCAGAGACAGAACCTGTGGGTGCTACCTGGGATGGCTGACCTGCTGGGTATTCCATATGTGAAGGCTGGATTCCTGTGTATGAAGGTGCAACCCCACCTTCTTCAGGTGGGTGAATTTCTTGATCATCAACCATTTCTGTTTCTTCTTGTTCCTGAAAGAGGAAAGAATCATGTTAATGCAGTGAGAAAACCAACCTTTACATTTAAACAAAACGCAGCCAGCTAATTAATGAAAATACTTACATCATCTGGGCATAACTCAAATGCTTTTGCTAAAGTCACCCTTGCACTTTGTGATCTTTCAAGGAAGTAGCTGAAGAATAGAAAAAAGTATATTCAATATTTTTCATATGTAAATAAGTATAACGTGTTCTGGTTCATAATGGGAATAATTAATTTTGTTTGACAATTGTATTTAATAATGAATTCACAGTAAACAAATTCCTACCCATTGCTAGTTTCATTTGACTGTGCTGGTGGTGACCAATTGTTGTATGTCTGGTACTGAGTGTTTCCAGGATATGGACGCTAGAATAAGCAATAAAATAATTTTTAAAAATTAAGAACTTATCAAATAGAAACTTATCAAATTAGCAATTAAAAAATTGTAAACGATTTTGTAACAGCTTGAAAAATTAAATATTAAAAAATCTTTTAAAAAAGTAAGATTCCACTTTACCCTTTCCATTTCATCATTCAGCCAGTCGATTGCCCATGTCCACTTGCGTTTAATTTCTCCATTGGTCTGCAGCATTGCAGCAGCTGGTGCACAGCTAGTTATAAAATAATATTATAGTGTATATTAGGTTTATTAAGCTAGTTCATAGAGAGTAGTCATATTGTTCTAAAAACCTCTAAATCGTCTTACAGTAATTACTTATATATGTTAGTGCAATTGGAAAACCTACTGAGTGAACAGAGACACCATCAATTTAATACACTGATAGGCCCTCTTCTGGTAGTGATTCTTTGACCTTTGGATTGTATCAAAGAGGCCGTCACGGTCATCAGGAATACCCTTCAAGGCATTGTGAATGCGATGAGTTTGCCAAGAGTCTTCTAGCAGTAACATCTGAAGCAAGAGATCCATGTAGGGACGCAGCTCATAAGTGTAAGAATACGCCACCTGAAGTATAAAAATAAATGAAGTTAAAATACACAAAAAATTCTCAAAACATATAAACAATAACAAACAATAACACTAAAAAGGAATTGTAAACCTTACCTGCCATAATAACTCACTGAGTACTACTGATGAAAAATGTGGATTTTCCCATGAACAATACTGAAAATGAAAAACAAATTAAATGAGGGTATGTCTAAAATTATATTAAGATATAGGCCTATGTACTCCATTAAATGGTGACTAATTTTGAGCACTATGGATTATTTTTTATCAGCATTTGGTTTAAGGGAAAAAATGGCTTTACAAAGAAATTAACTAAACTAACCTTAAATGTCTAACTTTTTATAAGCTGTATAGAAACTTATCTCAACTTTTGCAAGCTAAAAGTAGCCTACCTTTAACAACTTTGCAGTTTCATCCACAGCATTGGCTTCTTCGATTATTTTTTTGACATACAGGCTTCTTCCATACAAAACTTCAGCAACTGGGTGTTGTATTATCATCAGAGGTTTGGGGCATAATGGATCACCGTGAGGATTTGGTATTGGTGGCTGACCCTGTTCAATAGTTATACATTTTAGTAACATTTTGTAAAGATGACATAAACAATATCTTCTAAGTCTTAAAGCATTTGTTATTTTTATAAATGAATATAAACATACAGTAATAGAAGATTGGCATCTTTGAGAAACATCACAGCATCTGACTAATTGAGAAACCACAGAATACAGCTTGCTAAGCTCAGCATATTGATACTTGATAGGGGGTCCAGGTCCCTCATCTAAGGCTACCAGCATAAACTGCTGAGGCACTCGCAGTTTTAAGAGTTGCAGTTTCTGAAAAAAATATCATTCAAACTATTATGAACCAACAAACTTCACTGTCAAAATATTTTTAAAATGACACATACATCTGGCACAACTAATTCATAAAATAAAACAGCACTTGCAAACTTAGTCTAAAATTAGAAAAAATAATATTTCTCACAAACTACTTACAATTTTCAAATTGAGCTCTGGGTTATTTGGGTTCATGTTGAGATACATCAAGAAAAGATGAAAGTACTGCTGCAGATGTCGACCATGCTCTGAGATATCTTTCTTCAACAAAGAAAGAGCAGCCACCAATAAGTGATCACTCAACGTAGCACTGGGATCAAGCTGAGTATTTGCTGCTAGAAATATTTAACATAGTTGAGGTAACGGTGGAAGTGTGGGATATGTTAGGTTTAAAGAATATGATGTATAGATCATGGTCTAAAAGATTTGTAACCACCTGAAAGCGATGCAATAGCGGGTGGACATGGGCCGTCATTCAGCGTAAGATTTGTCAATATCACAAATACCTTTACAAATGTTACTCGTACCTGGAAACAAAAGTATCATTGTAAGAGATATATTGCAATATGCTAATACTTGCTAAATTAACTATTGAAGGAAATAAGTAAATAGTTACCTCTGAGGAAGGACACTCAAGGAGATACTCTGTTAGAATGTTTGAATTTTTGAACAAGACATGGAGGGCAAACCAAGATCTGACATTCTTGCTTGTTCTCAGGTGAATGTGTAGTGCATCAGACCAATCCCCAGCTGGACCCCTGTCACAAGCAAGAAGACTTAAAATTTTAGGCGCTTTGATTCATTTGTAGAACTACCTCACACAAAGCAATCGAGTCTTAAACTGCCTGTATTTACCTTAGAGACTTCTTTGTTTTAAACCCAACATTAAAAAGAAATTTTGATGCAAGCTCAGTGCTGATCATTGAGATATGTTCAATTTCTTGAGTCTAAAGACAAAAAATTATGTAAATAGTGATATTTTTGTATTTATTAAAGCACATGATTAGTTTTTGTGTTTAACATCTGAGATGGGCAAATTAAATGTTAAGATAATGTTGAGTAATAACACAAACTTACCACTTTGCCTTCAACAATGCTCTGGTTTATCAGAAATTGGTTACAAACAACCAGTTTTTTCATGAAATTAAAGTACTCTGCAGAAAACTGGCTCTTTTCATGCATAAAACGAATATTTCCTCGTCTTACAACTTTTTCTATGGCTTGGGGCATTTTGATAGGGGGTATTGAATTGGCTACTGCAATAAAAATAGAGATTAAAAGATTAATTTTAAAATGACTTCAGTGAGTTAACTAAATATAAGTAACAGTTTAGTACCTCCCCTAATAGATTATTTTACACAAAAGATGAATTAAATACAAAAATATACCTATTGAAAGACTGCTCATTTCTTTACTGATCTCCTCCTCTTTAATTTCATCAATTCTTTCATAAAATAGAATGTATGCGTTCCACCATCTTTTCTGGCGTCGGAATGCAGAGCTATAAACAAGCAGATGGTGAATCTAACTTAATTTTTGATAAGTAATAGGCCACTCAAAAAAATATATCATTAACAATATTATTCTTATCTAAATAGGAAAATAAGACGATTGCTAGAATTTCTTTTAAAACTTGCATTGCAAATTTAATCAAATTTTAAATGTATTATCAGGTGACTCTTACCGTTTCAGCATATGGTCATAAACCTCCCCCAGATACTCTCCACCAAAGCACTGATTTTTCATTTCCTCTTCATCATCCATCTTGCATTCTGTTACATCACCATCATCAAACTTGTACCATTTTGGTGTCGGCTCATTAGGCCCTCTATTTTATAAAAACGTTTTAAATTATAATACATCAAACTTCAATCACTAAGAAAGTTATAAAATTCGTATTTGTTACATTTTCAGACTAACTTTTTTTTAAAAAAAAACACCTTACCTGTGTAAAATGTATGAATAGTAGTGACCACCACTGGCCTGTCCACTATGTACTAACACACCCACAAGTCTGTATTTTGTACTTTGTGCTGCATCAAATTCATCTATAATCTCACCTAGAATTAAAAAAATTCAATTGAATTGTTTTTTCAAGATCTAGAGATATTGATAGTTACAAGGTGTAAACTTATTTTCAAATGGTTTACCTTCTATCTTTGCAAGTCCCTGAACTGTGTATGGTTCCATATTTAATTCTTTAGGAAACTCAAAGTAATCATTAAATTTGATTGCACATTCCCTAAGCAAAGAAAATTAAAAGTTCATGTTTAGGATTGAATAAATAATTAAAACATCAAATATATAACATTTAAAAATCATGTGACTTGAGCTAAGGGCTGATTTTTTCCATATTTTATAAATTCCTTAAAAAAAACTATAGTAAAACTTACCGTTCCCAGTCATAATCAAATCTCTTCAACTGAATGGCGAGAATTTTTGGCAGTTTTCTTATCACAAGTCGCTTTACAGTATCAACCTGTAATTACCACAAGTATATTATAAATATTATAGCACTAATTATGTTGGTAAAAAACATGGTTGGCCCAGTTTAACTGGGTCAATTGTGATGAATATGATATCATGAGGAAGGCTGAACAAATAATTCAAATAAAAGAACAAACCTTTTTGTTGCATTTCTCACAATGGTAAGCATTTTCCCCTTCCAGCAAATCTCCTTTAACATACTGTTCCAGTGACTCAAACAAATTGGCATGGTTGCGTATGTCTACATTCAGAGTAGTAAATGCTTCTTCCCTCTGATACCTGCAATGGTACCAACAGATAACATTGATACACCTGTTTCATCCTGTGACATGCTGGACGTATTTTTAATTTTAAATTAAGTTACCTGTGAGGGCAGTCTTTGCATATCTTTTGGTCAGCAAATGAACCTCCCATGACTTGGGAAAGAATACTAGGCTGATTCAGGGCTTTTAAAGCCTCATCTAAGCTGTCCACTAAACTGTTGAAAAACTCCAAAGCATCATGTTGTTCTCTTAGATTCACCGGTTCACCCCAAAGTCTGGAAATTGATCAAAATTACCATTAAAGTCTGTGAAAAATTAAGGTACATAGTCACTATAGTATCCTATTTCATCCTACTTTTATATCTTAAGCTGATAAAAAAATAATTAAAACTCACTTGAAATGTTTCCAAAAGCCCCGAGGTACAAAATACTGCAGTTTACTGGCTGCTAAATGGCCAAATATCACTTGAATTTGTCTGAGAACACCTAGGTTATATGACTTTCTTTCATCATCTTTTGTTTGTGTTTGCCCATCACCACTTTCTTCATCCTTATTCTGACCCGCCAGCGGGTAAGTAACTTCAAAGACCTAACAGGATCAACACATGTGAACTTCAGTTCTTGTCAAAACATTTTTAGAAATTCTATTCCTTTTCCTTACATACATTCATAACATATTTATTTTGTTTAAATAACTGGTAAAAATCAGTAGGCCAGATAAATATACTCACTGCTGGATTTTCTTTATCATTGTTTCCCATGTTTTCTTTTTCAATGATGAGCATTTCTTCCTCAACGTTGTCAGCAGCACCTTCAACAGCCAAAATGCCATTTCGAATAGGTTCAATCATAAATAACTGTTGTAACACACTGTTCATGTAACACGTAGCACCAGCATTCTTTAGACCCACAAAACCTCTTGGTGGTCTTGGGCCAACCAATGGTACATACTCCCAGTCCATTACAGGTTGGTTATCTACAAACAAAGTTAGCATTTAGTTCTATCTTTCAGAAGTATAAATACTAAATTAGGATAACATCCAGTTTAATTATTTACAATGCATTTTCATGAACATGATACTTCAGGTTAAATGTAGTATTTACAATCAACATTAACAGAGGGTCTTGATCTACCTGTGTAATACATTTCAATAATCATGTTAGCCAGGTACTGTAGATTCTCAACACATTCCATACACAAGGCGACTAAGAGATCATAAGCAGCCACTACAGTATGTGGGCTGGAACACACAGGAACAGCATGCTCTGCTGGAAATTCTGCTTCATTTTTCCTGCACTGAGTCACCAGTTTGGATGCAGGAAAGATAAAATCTTCAACCACAGTCTGAAAGGAAACCCAACATTTGGTTTTAAGAAAAAGCGCATTTAAAAAAAGATTTCTATCAAAAACATAAAACAACTATTATAACTTAATATAATGATTGAAATATCTTACCTTAATGAGATCTGAACCCCCACTCTTACAACCTATATGATATTTTTTCTCTGATGATTGGAATGAAAGCAACTCTTTTGTAATACAAATTCGACCTTCTAGCAAAGCATCATCCACCTGAATCTCTCCATGCTTTAAACATTGTTTCTGTTGACAAATTTCAGAAGATTTTAGTATGCTTCAAGGAATGGTTATAATTTATAAAATATATTCAGCCATTAGTTATGTTTGTAGTAAAATGCTTAAAAAATATTTACCCTGACTTCCATCAACCAGGTAATTTCATTATTTAACTGAGGATCAACTGATATTGATCCTTCTTTTGATGCATGATTTAGCAGCCTATAAACAAAATATAAGAAAAGAATAATAGAAACAGTTACAAATATTAAAACCTAGATACTCTGCTTGAAAAAAAATAATTGATCCAAAATTGTGGTCGTTTTTATAATTCAAGCTACCTACCAAACGAATAAATACATAACAACAAATAATATTTAACTAAATATTAAAAGAGAATAAGTCAAACGTGAAAGTGTACAAAATTTGAAAAAATCTTTTACAAATCGCCAACTTACTTGCATAACAAAGTAAAATATTCATTTGATTGCCGGGCATTATCCTTTACAGTTGTCTAAAACAGATGTTCAAATTATTACAATTAATAAGCAGTCCTAGTGATTTTAAAATATAAAATGCAAATTTACAACTATAAAATATAATAATTTTAAGAGGAGAGTAACTATAAAACATCTCTTACCTCAAGTTTTGTGAACAGAAGTGTTACCAGCCACTTAAGATTCCTGGGATTGACACTACATCGCGAAAACATTTGAAAAAATTGTTCTGCTGCACATGTTCTGATGCTTCTGCTAAAGATTAAATAACAACTTAATTGCTAAAAATATTATTGAATAATGTTTGCTATTTAGTTTGGAATTTTAATTTTTGAAGATTCAGCATATTGTTTTTTATCTCACTATAAATGGGAATAACAATTGAATATGGTAAAACAAATACCATAAAAGTTAATTCAAAGACTTAATGCAATAAAAAAGCACTGACTCAGCAAAAAAGAATAATGGGAGACAATCTTACCTTGTTTTACACAACAACAAGAGATCAATAATAAAATCTTTCCAAGCATTTTCTTTCTCAAGCTGATCCAATGTTGGTGGACTTAAGGCAATGCACACAGTCAAGTTCTCAAGGCCTTCCCTAGCTACTAATATGTCTTCACTGTCAGAAACACCAGCTTCTTTGGGCTGGAAGACATTTAAAAGACATTAGCGACAACTAAATCTTTTAAAGAAATAATGTGAAGAAATTAGAGCTTTGCAACACTTGCAAAATGTTACTACCTTGTCAAAGGCTGCATGAATTTCTTCATAGGATGACAGCACAAGATTAAAGCTGCAAGCACTTGAAGACCAAGCAATCTTCATTATGGCTTTAACTGTGTTTAGATCTGGACTTACAGTAACCGCCTGATGTGAAAATAAGGACAATGATAACATAATTTAGATGCATTATCATTCCGATTTTATTGACAATTTTATATTAAATTTTTTTTTAAAATTGTGTAGCAAGTAAGATATAAGATCTCAAGTAAAAGGTAATTTAAATTGTCCTTACCTGCTCTGCCAGTTGTGAACCTAATCTTGAAGCTACATTTCTCATACTGTACTCTGAGTCAGGACTTGGAATATGTAGCAGAGCTTGTTGAAGTGCTACAGCTTCATCATGAGCTTTATGTGTTACTGTAGCTAAACGAGCCTCGGAACTGCAGGCCTCCACAACAACTTGAACACGAGCATGTCCGAGTACTGTCAGCATCATCTTACTGATCTTTAAAACTGTTTGATAAGCAGATCTGCCACAGACAAAGTATTTTAATCATTAACCATACACAGTAAATACTAATGGAAACGAGAAATTTACAATGATACTTTTAAAACATTAAAAAGACTTTATATACAGTTCAAACAAACATTGAACAGGTACCTTTTAGAGGGCAAGTCTGCATTAGGCATAAAGTTGTTTTTTGTTAACATGTTGATGGCAAGTTGAATCCCACCACTTAGGACAAAACTATATTGAAAGTCAAATGCTTCTTCACACAGAGGATCTAAACTTGGCATGAGCAGTGCATAACACACCTAATTAAAAGCAACAACAAATCAAAGTTAGTCAAAACTGTGAATGCTTGATACTGTGCTTTTGTAGTTACATATTTCTTGGTTTGGGGCACTAAAACAATGAAAGTACCTCAATATTGTAGAGTGCTTGAGTTGTGGAGCTATTAAAAAACATGTTCTCCAATGCTGCAGACACAGGCTGATCTGAACTAGCACCTTCACAGCATATTGTGGTAAATGTTTTTACTGTATGTACATCTGAAAATACAAATATATACAAATATATACTAACCAGATTTTTTTTTGCACAATTATTTCTTCGGCCATAAATGAAATTTAAAATGTTAAAGTAGTTAGCAGCATGTATCTACAATGTTTAATGGTTAAATATAGGAATACTAATAAGGATGTTATCATCAGAATATCTAGAGATATTAGACTAATTACCAGCTGGCATGATTTTGAGAACTGCTCTAGCTGTATCACGTAGTTTTGGTTCCTGTAGCTGACAACCTAAATCTGACAACTGAAAGAGGAACTGACTATACTTGGACTTTTGAGACATCAGCTGTAGGGAAAGGGAAAAAATGGAAATATTTATTTTTCACATTTTCATTTCAACAAGTTTCTGAATGCAACCTTTCACTCTAAATAATTCTGTATCAAATGACTTACAACTCCAGGTAAAGCACTTTCAGCCTCCAGGTTTGGTCCATCATACTGATTGTGTGGGGATCCTACTGAGCTATCACTACTACTATCTGGACTAGATGGCATATTCCCTCCTACTTGGACTAGTTTACCTGTCAAGGTCTTTAAAAATAAAAAAAGACATGATTAATATACAAAAGAGAGAAAAATATAATTCATTGAATTTTTATGTCAATAATAAATAAATGTGTTACTGGAAAAATGTTGCCACCTAGATATGGTTCTAAAACCTCATTTAAATCTTTGGGTGTAAATAAATACTTACCATCTTATCCCTTAAATTGATCTGTGATATGAGTTTCTTATCCTCACTTGGATCAATCTGTTCTGCATTGACATACAATTCTACTTTAATATTAGGGCCTGCCTTCACTCTCTGCAGTATATGTCTTCTCACTTGCCCAACTGTTTCATTTGAATGTGACCAAATTTCTACATCATCCCCTTGTCTGTTTTGACTTGGGAATCGAACCTTGAGTAGCATTAATTTACCACGACAGGCCCTATGAAAATTATTTTATGGACAGCATAAATTACAAATTAATATGATGAAACATTAGCAAAATAAAGTTAGAGACACATTTTGTTTTTAACAAACTATCGACTAAGTTCAAATATAATTCTAATATTTAAGATGGGAACAGCTTTTTAGAGCAAGTTTTCTCATGTGTTTTGTGTCTTACCTACTAAGAGGCAAAATAGTTCTTTCTTCTCTATGTGCTTCATCACACTCTGCCAAATATTCTTTCAGCACAGTTAACACTCTAACCATACGAGCAGTCTCCTGCAGTACACGCTGCTTGCTTTCAGTGTCTGTATCTTGTCCCAGAACACTGACAGTATCATATGCAGCTTTCAATCTATCAATACATGATGTTATGAGGTCTTCATGAATTGCAACTTGCTTCTGTTGTAGTCTGGGTCCCAGGTTGGTAAAAATATCCTTTAAAAGCGCTACAGCTTTCTCTGCCACATCGTCTGGGCTACAAGGTACAACCTGTTTTATTGTGAGAAGTAGAAGTAACAATTTAATTTCTAGCTAAAATAGGCATACCAAACATAATGGGACAGAACTGATTTTGTTTTGCCTAAAAGAAATTAATAAAAGATGAAAAATAGGTTAACATTGGCATGCAGACAGCATGTCAAATGAATCACTATTCTACCAAGGTAACCTAAAGACAAGTTTTGCAACTCATAGTTAAGGTTTGTATCCATAACTCTTTGATGACCTAGGCGACCAGATATGCTAGATATTATTGAATGTGGTAATGTCCAATTTATTAATGTAAGACTTTTTACAATCATTGTTAAAGAATATCTTTATTTTGCTTGGTTGGAAAGAAAGTGAACAGGTTTTTAATGCAGACAGTAAAGGGTTACACTAAGTTATACTATTTTTCAAAACAATAAATCTAGAAATGTTTTAAAATAAACAAACCTTCCATAAATAATCCAAGCCAATCAGCTCTATATCATCCATCAGATATCCACCACGTCTTTTAGCTATGAGCTTATTCTCCTTCAAGTTCACTTGTTTGAAAAAGCGCTCAAAGCAGCTAGTATAGTAAACAAACATAACAGAGTTAATATATATTTATCTCGAAATTTTTAAATCTTTTAGTCCATTATTCAAAATTTGTAAATAATATGTAATCATAGAGCTTATTACAGTCTTTTTCCTTAAACATGTTTAGAAGACTTAAAAATTTTAAATATTGAGCCATTCTTTAAAAAAAGAAAACATCCTAGTCTATAAACAGTTAAGAAAATTTGAAAGTTTAGTTCTACTGTACTTAAACACAATGAAATTAAAGTTGTGATAACTTTTTTTCACTCTTTAAGACTCTCCCAGCAGTTTAAAAATATTTTAAACACCAATAGGGCATTCAATTATTTATCTATATAATGTGCAGATTTATAGAAAATCTTACTGTAGTTTACATGGGGAAATTGCAAGAATTTTTTTCTAAAGCTTCTTAATTTTAAAAACTCACTTCATGCCATTTTCAGTGAGAAGGTCTGGGTTCAGCTGAAGAATGTTCCTTTCAAAGAAGTCTCTTGTTATTTCTGGATCTAGATCAGGTTCTTCTCCCATTAGCTTTAACCATACGAATAATAAAATTAATACCTTTGAAATGTAACTAATACTACATGTAATGTTACCTACTATCATCATAGCAAGCATAGTTGTACAGTTTATTGAATTAAGTAATATTTTCAATGTTTAAAAATGTATTACCTTGGCAAACCATTTAAAGCAAGCCTCTCTGTCAGAGAAATAAATAGCATTTTCTGCCAAGCAATTCCAGATCTTAAATGTAAAGGACATATAAAAATGTATAATGGTTAGATATTCTCAATGTTGAGAAAATAAAGAAGACATATTATAAAGATTAACTTAAGTTAAATATGTCTGCTTTAAAATAGGTAGAGACATAGTGAATAAAAATACAAACCTGTCTAGCTTGAGGTTCGCATAGCCACAACTGCCCATCTTTGAGCAGGAACCTAGAGCAAGGTGGAGAACAGACAAATGTAAGTAACAAGTTTCAATTTCTTTTAAAAACAATTTTAAAAGCAATGTCATAGTGAGCAGAGCATTACCTGAGAAACCTAAGCCGTTCAGACACTTGCATGTTGTGATTAAAACGCCCATCGGGTAGAATAGTAGTAGGGTCTTCATTTGGATGAGCTGAAAATTAATTAAAGTTTGTACAATATATTTCTCAAGCTTTTTAATTATAAAAATACAAATGGCAGCTTAAAGTTAATCTGGGTTTGTGTTATATTTAAATAAAAAAACAAAAAAAGTTTTTTTACCTTCTGCATAAGCCCTCTGCTTATTCATATATGCAGATAGATTCTGTGATACTAACATAACAATGGAATGTTGACTTTGAAGTTGGCCAATCACGCCATTGCGGTAATACATTTGAGCCCCTCGCTGGGTGTGAGGAAAGTTCTGTGGGGCCTGTTCAGATGATTTTGCACTCTGGTTCAGTTTAAACTAGAGGCATAGTATAAATGGTGGGAATGAGGAGCAAATGTGTTGATCCCTAGATTCTAATGTCTAACAGAGTCCCTACATTTTAATCTTAAATTTCAGTGAATTATTATTGAAAAGAACTAATGTGTCTAGTATAATTATGTTTCATTACATAAAATTAAAATGTAATTAAGTGTTTAATGAAAACAATACAGTTAGATAAACAACAAAGAGTTTAAAAAGCTCTAAAAATATCACAGTCCAGATCAACACTGTATGAGAGGGATTCTAGAAACAGACAACAATAATATTCCTAGAAGGAGAACTAAAAAACAATAACATACATTAATACAATAACATTGTACTATTTGATCTTAGCTAATTAAATTATTTCTGGAAATAAATGAAACTGTTTTCTAAAAACATACACTACTAATTAGCTATTTATATTATTGTAACTTAAGAACTAGTTTTATCAATTTAAAACTGTCTCAAGGTGTTTTAAATACCTCAGGAAACAAAGTGCATATTTCTTTGATCTGCTTTAATGCTGGAAGAACCCACTGATCATTTTTTAATTCTTCAACAAATTTTGAGATCCACTGAAGCTTTTGTGCATCCCTATCCTGCAATAATCAAAATAATATGAATTAGTTAAGCTAATAAATTGCTCAGGTAAAAAAATTATAATTTACTTGTGTCAAAAAAGTTACAAGGATCCTAAACAATCCAACAATCAATGTAAAAAAATGACTTAAAATGAATCAACGTGATTGTGATTAAAAAAAAAAGACAATTATAGTGAAAAAGATATTCTCACCGGTACCTGCGAGCAGCTGTAGTCTAAGATTTTATAGTGTGCACTAAGAGCTTGATCCATGATGTCAGTTGGGACATCATCACTATGGGCTAGATTCCACAACAGGGTTAGTACCTAGTTAAAACATTAATAATATATCCCTGTTATTAAGATATTTAGAATGGAATCCCCAGGGAAAAAGGAGGGTGGGCCGGCCAAGGAAGACATGGGGAAGAACGGTTGAAGAAGAGGCTAAAGCAGCTGGTCACACATGGGCACAGATAAAGAGGGCAGCCCAAAACCGAGTCTGATGGAGATGTGTGGTTGCAGCTCTTTGCTCCCCAGGGGCCACAAAGGAATGATGATGATGATTAAGATATTACCTCTTTTAAGACTGCTTTCAAGTATTAAATATATATTTATATAAAATGTTAACTGACCTTATGGGCCATTACACCTTCTTTGTCATCTTCTGCTAGTCTTCTGATTAGTTCTAACAACTTTTCTCTCTGCTTTTTGCTTGCATGATGCCATGATCCCTGTAAAATAGCAAGAAAATATTAGGATTAAATGACTAAATTTACTTTTTAAACTAACATTTTAAACATAAAAAACATTACTGATGAACTAACCTGAAAACACTCAAACAGATGGTCTAGTTGCTCTGGTGCAAAGTCCCAAGCTAATTTAGCCAACAAATCATGAACATTCTTAACAATAGCATCGTGCTTTCCTGACTGAAAGAGAACAATTAAATACAAGTTTAAATGAAAACCTAGAATAAGAGAGATGAAACACTGCAGCAAGGAATTAATAAACCTCTATTAACATACTAACCTGTGCATCCCAAAGTCTATCAAGATCTTCCATTGTCAGAGCTCTTTCTTTTATCATAAATCTGAGGATTTTTTCCAACTTCTCAACATACTGAGGCTGATGTAAACTGTCTCTCAGGACAATACTCAACACATTATTTTGCTGGATCCATTCCTACAATAAATTTTTAATATTAATCATAGAAAATAATCAGGAAATAGGCCTACCTCTATTAAAAAAAATAACTTGTATGTAATGAAATGCTACTCACAGCCATTTTATCTGCTGTTAGCCATTCATCTTCATCAACACTTGAGTGCCTACTACTAGACTGGAAACTAACATTTGTGATAACTTTGTTCACTTCATTTAAAGCATTCATTTTGCCATTAAAAGAAGAGATCTGAAGCAATCTAAGAATAAAAATGGAATTTTTCAATTGACTTTTTAAAAGTTTAAAATGTTTTTTAAAAATAAAAAAAAATAATTAAAAACAAACAAACCTTAGAATCATTTTTAATCTGAATATTTCCAAATTTTTTGTTTTTTCTTCTTGATTGGGCAACCTGTTGACAAGCTGTTTGAGGGCTTTAATGATAGATGATAGAGCATCATTTTTTGCTTCATTCTTTGACTCTTTCTTCAATTCTTCATCAGTCAGTTTGTCTAAAAATTTTGGTACTATTTCCTATAACAAGAGAGATCAACAATTTTAAGTATGTCTTGGAGTTATATTATTTTAAAATATGAATAAAACAGATTTTCAAATACAATCAATTATGCCAAGGCTACCAACATAACAGAAAGATCTTACTGATGACATTTAATAAGAAATTTAGGTCTATCAAATAAAAATAGTTTGTCATTCTTTTTAACAATGATGAACTTAAACTTACCACTATTGGCATAAAGTATTTCTCTACTGTGTGGGGCGTTAGAACTTCACTGCACATTCCAAAAGGTCTTAAATAAACAAGAAAATTATTCAAGAGGTTGAATCAAAATCATTGCAAGACAGGAATCAGTTTAGTACATCAAGTTATAATTTTAATTAACATTTTGAATGGTTATCTTATTAGCTAAACAGTCAAACAAGCTATATTATCCCAATACTAACTTGATAAGACTTGCAACAACAGGAACTGATAGTGGTGGACCATTGAGAAATCTGTCTAACAAAATAGTGAAGCCATCTAACTGACCAAACCTATTCACAAGATCTACAAGCCAACCCTGTAATATTTTAAAATAAAGCAACGTTTCAATATTATAATATGACAAAGTCTAGTTCAAAAATATTTCTTTCTAAATTGCATAAAAACTTTGTTAAGAAATAGTACAGTTCATAATTTCACTAATTGAAGGAAAGTTATTCAAACCTTTGGAGTTCTATGATCTGGTGGTCGAGCAAATAGAGCATCATCTGCTAGCTGTGCACCTGACTGAACATTATCTGACTGCCGAGTGGCATTGTAAGTGTGGAATCTGAAAAGTTTTATATTATTAATTTTTTAATTAAATAACTTATAGCAGCACAAGGTCACTGACCTTTAAAATAAAATAAGCATTAAAACTTAAGAATAACAGTTAATTAAACTGTGAGTCTGGTCATAAGCGTTTCTTATTTTAGGAACATTAGTAATGTAATAATAGTACTAACTTGCAAGTAGGATTTAGAACCATTGATAACAGTTCCAAAAGTGGAAACCAGTCTTGAGATAACTTGTGAACACATAATTCAATCAATTTGTCTGCATTTTTTAAAATACATCTCTGAAAAAAATGAACATTTTTTTTTTTTGTAAAATATATCTTCAAAGAAATACACGAATCATTAAAAATCAAATAATGAAGTAAAAACAATCTTATCTAAAATGCAATTTAGTCAACAAAAGATTAAAATCCGACTTCGGCCCAAAGAAATTATATGCTTACATGGATTTCATATTTCCAACCACTCACTGCTTCATCAGTCAAGATTTTTGTAAAAGAAATTGTCAAGCCTTCTCTGAAAAATCGTTGGCAGGCCTCACTTCTAGTGTCTAAACCTAAAGAAAACAGAACACCACACGGTTAGTAATTTTCAAAATTAGAAATATTTTAATTCTTTTTTAGTTAATTGCTATTTATTTAATAAACAAACACACCTTCTTTACTAAGCTTAATGGCTGCTTCCAAAAGTACTTCTAATTCTCCCTTTGGCAAGACAGGTACAACCCACCGTGGTCTATTTATCATTTCATCAAGCCTACTCAGTTCTAATAATGGAAACTCTGGCTCTGCATCACCAGCACCTTGCACTTGTGCTACAAACAAAAGATTGGAATAAGTAGCAGTATATCTAAGTGATTTTAAGTTGATATCTTGAATATCTTACAAAGTTGACAAACCTGAGGGCTCACCTCCAGCTTGTACAGTAACAGGCGAGACAGATGTTCCATTATCTTCAATCAAAGAAGATGAAACTGTTGTATTTGTGTCTGTAACTGTCGAATCTGTAGGTGCCGTTGTTCCGCTGCATGCAGGAGCAGAAACTGAGGGTGGATTTGGAAGGACAGGTGTTCCAGTCTGCTGTGTTGGAGGCTGGGCAGGGTTAGTGACGTTGTCTTGAGGAGTATCCCCACCTGCCGAGCCTGGGCGCATTACTTTGGTCATGGTTTATGACCTTTTGATACTGTTATAAAAAAATTCAACAAAAATAAACATTAAGTCCACTAAATGTTATGGGCTGTTTAAAAAAAGTAAAATATTTTATTAGCAAATGCATGTTACCTCAAATATTTAAACACTAGAACACACTAAATATAATCAAAGCACTAGAATTATTAAATGAAACTTTAATCTATAGTCCTTGATCCTAATAGTTGCTGATTAAAACTAAAATGAAAAAAAATATGTGTTGCAATACCAATGCCCACTAGAGACAGACTCAACAAATATTTCTTTGTTTAAAAAAAAGAAGTCTAAATTGAAAAGCCAATTAAAACTAAAAAATGTATTTTTTATAAGATACAAAGTTAGTAGGTGTATACTTCAGAAGAATAAACCAAATAAACATTCTTAATCAAGCAATACTTTATTAACTAACCATGACTATATAAATAATAAGTAACATGTGTTTTTCAAAAACCTACTTTTTTATAATTACTTAAATTACTCTTTCTAATTTCTACTCAAAAACATTTGCATCAATAATTAATGTACTGATTGCACATTATAGAAAAAAAATGAAGTTAACTGGATACTAAAAGAATACACCAACCCTACATTTAGAATGTAAAGCTATTAGCCATTAGCAGCTTAGCCACAGCTGTATAATTACAACGCATCCATACTATAAATAATTAAACTGGTAGGCCTTTTGTGGTAATTATTCTTAAAACTTAACCTTATAACAAACATCAACCACATAAAAAAAATTTCAATGTAGGAATATAATTTTGTCGGGTTTAAGCCTGAAGCTAAGAGCATTTTGCTGCTATTTCAAAGTTCATTTTTAGTTTATAAACAGTCAGTATTTTAACTGACATAAAAATTAAAACACAGGCAATTTATAAATTGTAGGCCTAATTAACCACACAAGTCTAATTTTATTGAGTGTATTGTCAAAAGAGCAAGAGAGAGAGAAAAAAGAGTGTATTGCCAACTAGACTAGTTCTCTGTTGGATTTTAAATTTAATTTGGTCTAGCCAGTAGCCCAAATTCAGCTGACAACAATTACAATGGTGGTAACAAAATCACCTCAACTTGCTTTTCCTATTCTTATAAAAGCGTCCCAAAAGCCTAATTTAAATTATAGGTCTAAACCTAAAAACAATAATAAAGAGGCTTAGTAACAATTTTTTAGATCTAGATTCTAGACCTAGATTATATGTTGTAGAGTGTAACAGTGCTGAGTGTAACAGTACTACTAGATCTACTGTCTGTCACTCTACTGTAGTACCTCACTTTAAAGTTCAATGTAAATACAGAAATATAGTAGGCCCTAATTTAAATAGTTTAGAATAACATACACTAGATTCTAGATCTAACTTAGATCTAGATCTATATAAGATGTAGGTCTAGGTTAGATTCTAAGAAAGATAGTTTTGTTTGAGTCTTTTGACTTTGAGTTGACTGTTTATTTTTTGTTGGCTCTGATGTTGTGAAAAAGTGAATGTTTGTACCCAGACTATGAATGAAATGAAAGCAACCTACTGACCCTGTTTCAATCAAATGTCATATCATAATCAGTGGAAGTTAATATCTTACGTTATGATTCTTCTAATAGGCAGAACAATACATTATCAGATTAAATTTGTTTAATTTTTGCTTGTTGAAACAAGATAAATAAGCGAAAGCGGAAAACCCACAATGCTTTATTTAAAATGGCCGACAATGATGATAGAGAACAAACTGAACGTTAGCTTCCCTCTTTTCAGAAGAGGATAAATTGGTTAAATTAAAGGTTACAGACACGTACCTAGCTCGTGCAGTGTGTGAGATAATGAGAGTGTGAGTACATTAGTTCTTCTTGTCGCTAGTGAAGGGAAGAGACGCAAAACAGATTATTTACAATCAGATTTCCTCAAAACAAGTTATCGCACACAATCTGCTAAAAATACACTGATTCAGTGTAGTATTATGGTAATGAAAATAAGTCTCGTAGTCCGAGACTTCTACTGTCTAAAGTAAATTAATCAAAATAACTGGTAACTAAACAGAATTTTTTTTATAGAAGATGAGTTTTAATTTTATAAGTTTTTATCAATCATATTATTAAAATAATGTATGTTTTTTTTTTTCAAAATGTATTTATGACAATTATTCGAAACTGCGGTTGTACTATAAATGCTGACTACTTAATTTTTTTCTTTTCTTGTAAAACATAATTAACGAAAGTACACGAAAATTAGAGTTAAAATGTTAAGATCTAGATCTAGATTAGATCTAGTTTCGATCCTAAAGATGTGTTCTTGAAACTTGTCAGAATTTTTAAAAACTTTGTTCAACACTTGCATCTGACGGGGGAAGGGATGTAATCACCCAAAAATCACGTCTAACACATCGCGGAAGAGGGGAGGTTATCAGACGGTTGAGAAATTTGACAATAGGGATAGGCTATACTATATATTTTAAATACATGACTTCCATCTCCCTATTCCATCGTTACCGCTCCCTTCTAAATGGCCTGCGTCAGTATGATCCTGGATAAAATGGCTGTAAACGTACGTTGAATAGCATTTATAATACATTTACTTTGCATTAAAGATAAAACTCAAGCTCTGTCACAGATACCTTAACTCCCCCCCCCCTCCCCCGAAACAAGAAACAAGTCCACCTCTTTCCACATCCCAGCATCGGGCAAGTCGACACAACCATAACCAGAGCAGGGGCGTAGCGAGGGGGGGGGTGCGGACCGCACCGGGTGACACCATTTAGGGGGGTGACACCAAGGCAAAAAATAGCAAAATATATAGAGAAAAACTTGAGGGGGTGCAAATCGAAAGTTAGAGGGGGGGGGTGCAAATTGAAAACTTGAGGGGGGTGCAAATCGAAAGTTTGAGGGGGGGTGCAAATCGAAAATTTGAAAGTTTGTCCCCGGGAAGGGTCGCTATGCCTCTGGGGGGGGGGGGGGTGACACCATTAAGTGCCGCACCGGGTGACACCCGACCTCGCTACGCCACTGAACTAGAGCATATAGATTCTATCTCATTCATATCTCAAATAATAAAGATAAAGTTAATTTACTTTTTCAGTTTGTTGTTTACTTGTATGTGTTGCATCTTGTTCAGTATTGATTAACTCTAAAGTGGTCAAACAATAAAATAAAAAAAAGACCAACATCGATTTTTAGCCCCACCTTCCCCTTCTTTCTCCAATCCACCAATCTTAACAAGTCACATATTTACACTGAGGACTCATGTGACAACTCATAACAACACAACACTTAAACACAACACTTACTTTTAAACAGCCGTTTATGGCTGTTGTTGGTTGATAATATGTTGGATAAGAAGGAAGAAAATGATTTAATTTAAACACCTATTTTATCAGTCCTCGTCAGTGAGGCAAAATATATGGTTTCTTTCTGCCATTTCCTCGCAGCTATGGTCATTCGGCCTATTAGTATGTTTTATTTACGTTAACTATATTGCTAAAAACTGCCCTCAACACAATGAGAAACGTAAGCATTGTGTAAAAATAGTGGCGTCACTAGGTCGGGTGACACCTGGTGCTATACCAACGAAAATTATTAAGGCCCCCTATGCTATATATTATTATGTATATCGGTGACCGGAAAGAATGTCAACGTAGCACAATAAAACATTTTCAACGAAATTTGACAAAATTAAAGTGTATTAGTATAATTAGTTTGTATTTGCAAAATATTTTCGTTGCGCCATGCATGTATCTTCAATGGAGCGCCTCCCCGTGTGGCGTATGGGGGAAAGTCCACCATAAATGGCAGTACCCGGAGAAATCAAATACCCGGGGCGGACCAAAATAGGCAACTATCCTGAGGGCTGAAAGGTGATTCCCAGATGGTTGGGCTCTGGGCTAACAACCCGGACCTGTGCAACAAATCCCGTTACAGAAAGACCAGAGTTTAGAAAATTCTGTCCTGGAAGTAGAAGGATCGCCAAAAGGCATGACGCGGAGTGGTGAACGCTGAGAGGAAGCCACATCGCCGCCCACACAGAGTTTCTTCCAGGCATCTCTTCGGGGGGGGGGGGCTTCGCCCCCCGAAAAAATTCTACCGCCCCCCCCCCCCGAACGAAATGAAATTTGTATAATTTATATAGAAAATATATACTTTTAACAGTGTCCGCCCCCCGAAGAAAGTCTACCGCCCCCCCCCCTGAAAATTTCAAGTGAGAAAAAAGTCTTGAAGAAACACTGCGCCCACAACCGTCCGGTGCGACCAGGAAAATTAACATCGGTACCTGCGACGTACGGAACATGTACGAAGCAGGAAAGACAGCAGTGTTTCTTCTAGACTTTTTTCTGCGAGGGGGGCACTTGAAATTTTCGGGGGGGGGGGGGGGGGAACGGGGGGCGGACACTGTTTAAAGTATATTTTTTCTAAATAAATTCCATTTCGTTGTGGGGGGGGGTAGACTTTTTTCGGAGGATCTCCGCCCCCCGAAGAGATGCCTTGAAGAAACTCTGAAAGACAGCATCCGAAAAGATGGGTTACACCTGGAGTCAGGTTGAGAAAACACCACAGGACAGAGGACTCTGAAAAGCACCTTTTTGGAAACTCATTTCACTAAATATTTTAAACAATATATTATATAGAGTCCTTGCAAACACGTGACCTAAATCACGTGATACCTACGCCCGCCGCCACAGTGGTGTACATCAGACGTAAACACAATCAGCTGTTCGCCAGCGCTGGACGTGTTCACCGTATGTAAAGAATCGCGCCCGCGGAAAAGGAAAAATATGTTAAAAAACTTGAACTCTTAGGAATTGAAGATCCTTATACAGTTATTGACAGTTTCGTGGATAATATAAATATGTGGCCGAAATTTCTAAATAAAAATACTGTTAGTAATACCGTTTGCGTTTAGAGTTTAAGTAGACGAAGCTGATCAAATGCAGTAATATATTAGAGGTTATCTACTGTAGCAAACGTGAGACCACTTAACTCCTACAAAACCCACACTACAACGGCTAATATAATCCATGGGTAATAACCAATCTGGGTAGCATGTTATACAATTTAAGACCTTATAATCCAGCAGGGAAGTAATCAGACACATTAATACTGACGTTCAACCCTCATAATGGCTGCCCCCACCTGTATCTAGCCCACAATAAAACCAAAGAGGAGTCTGCCCTGCCCTCCCCTGAAAATGTCTCACCTCTGTGATACCCAGCCCCACAGAGATAGTATTTCTTATATAATTTTGACCCTCAGGGCCCAGCAGGGAGAACAAAGGGGAAAGTCCCACTGCTCTCCCCTCAACACTTCTCACCTCGGTGTCATGTTATGTCATTTATAGCACACACGGCTTATCAGGGGAAAGCATTAAGGTAGGTAGTCCAAACTGAAATTAACTATTGATTGCAGACTTCTGGAGTGAGTATGTCATGAAAGAACTTTTAATTGTAAGGTCTATGCCACAAATTTTATAAAAATATCTCAATAAATAAAAAAGTTATGCGATTTTTAAAAAAGCAAAATTTGGTAAAAAACTGATTTTCAAAAAGTGCCATTTTTGAGAACCCATATTTTTTAAACTAAATAACATAGAAGTGTAGAAATTGGTAAAGTTGCTGCAAAGCTTGTAATATATATGCCCATTTTTTTCAGTCATCTAAAATGAGTCTTTCTAAGGTAAAAAAAATAATTGAAAATGACAAAAATGCGTATTGGTCACTTTTATTTTCATAAAAAAAAAAAAATTCAATTTTTTTTTTTTTTTTTTGCTTTGGAATAACTCTAAAACTATTGTGTTGGTAACATCAACGTGGAAAAATGTGTTAATTATTTTCAAAAATCACATGAGTTAAAATATTATTTTAAAAAATACCACAGTTATCTAGTGCAGGAGAAACAGAATCAAAATTTAGTAGAGTAAATGTAATGTAATATAGTTTAATAAAGACGTGATGCCTACAAGTGATGCAGCAGTTGATGCCACATGCTTTGGTTTCTTTTCAAACCTATACGGTTGATAACTGCTTTGGGGGAACAGTTTTTAAAACTACAACTCCACATCTTTGTACGTCTTGTTTCCCTCAACCTTGATCTTGTGGAGCATCAAGAGTAAGTAATATGTTTTGGGAATTGTAGGGGGGAGTGGGGTCTTGGCCTTCTTCCCTTCCCTTGTAAGGAAAGTTCTGGATAGGCCACTGTAAATGTCTCCAGCTATGGAATAAACAATTGATTTAGTGATTAATAAAATAGAATTAAATTTACTACCAGCTGTCACAGACTGTATAATTATGTATCTTTATTATATTGTGTTTTGCATGAATGAAGAGTACCTGGCTAGCGGAAGGACTGTCTGAGCGATCGTCATGTGTTTTTTCATGTTTTTGGGTGAGATCGCTCATTGACGTAAGGGGAGAAAAAGTTGTGAATAAAAGGTAGAGCGAAAGGTGAACGGGTGTTGTGTGCTAGGACTTGGGACTGGAACGATGGCAGTGAATGTAAGATGTCTCCATGACTTGGAGTCGTGATTATTATTTGTACCTATATCAGTTGATCTTCAAATATGGATGTACCACGGATTTATCTGTACATAGTGTAAATAAAGTTGTCATTTCAAGTTGCCACTGTTGCTCGGGTTCCTGTATGAAAGCTAACCCACAACAACAAAGAATACATGTTGTTACACCAGCCTATTGTGTAGGCCTACTATTTGTCCTATGACTATAACTGGAAACATATGAAAAAGCCTGAAAACACCTTTTTGTTAAAAGTAATTTATACTTTATATATATTTTTAAGAGTAATTCTACTGAATGAAATTTGAAATATTCGTTGCTTGTGCCACACTGGTTGAGATATCCAATAATGAAGATGCCATACTGTGGTTCTCAACATCCTATAGGACAACTTAACTGTCCTTCATTGTTACTATTATATGCATATAAAATAAATAAATAATGAGAAATACTACTAGTACTACTTACACTTACAACTAATATAACATTTAAAACTAAGTCACAACATGTAGAATCTTAATAAATTGCACCACCATCTAAAAATTGATCTGGTACATTTTATTACGGAGACTGGCGCAGACCATTTCACATTATTTAGCAGGGGAATCAGAATCAGAGCACACAACAGAAAATAAAAAAAATTAATCACATTAGTCCTTAAAATTTAGTGTCTTTTGTTTTAAATAAATTGATAAAAATGTATAGTTATTATAATTATACATTTCTTTTGTGTTTCATTAATATTTTATAAGTATTTAACCTTCGTTCCCTGTAAATAATTGAGTTCGTCCACATAGTAACCAGGATAGTCTGGTGGCCATTTTGAATTTGTCGATTCATAATTTTGACGTGATAGTCCAGATAAACTGTAGTAATACGACCCTATCATTGATCCCAGTCAATAGATTTTAAAGAATTAGTAAACACTAGCATCTAATAGTTAAGTGCATCCATATTTTAAGTCCCTAGAATGTCCTGAATTAAATAGCTTCACGTCTAAACACACCCTGTGTACAAGCGTAGTTCACACGCTAAAACCGTGGACTTGAAGCGTTCAAATTTACATTAATAACGTGTACTAATTAAACCAAACTGACATTCAAACTTAAAATTCATTTATTAAAATGGAAATGAAACTTTAAAAATGATACTTACAACTTGTTTGAAGGCTCTAGCAAGGGTAAAATCCGTTTAGCATCATCGGTCGTCAACCTTTAAAACCGTTCGGCGAGCAACTTACTCGGGGCTGAAAGTCGACTCGAGGGTTATATGTTTATTGGGGGTACGGCTTCGCGACCGTAAATCAGAAATACTTGAATTTACAACACAAAGTAGTTATAAAACTGAACTTTACATCGGTGTAAAAATTGAAACAGAATTAGTTTGTTTCCGTGTATATATCGTCATTTAAAGTTTAAAATCTGTATTTTTTAAATGAAATAAACAAGTTATTTTTTCAATTTATACATCAAACGATAGCCTAGAATTTGATCTTTAAAATGACATTAAGATTATGCTTCTACGATGCTTCGTCGCGAAGCCGCGACCAAATAAAACAGTGTGGGGTCGATCGGTACACGCAAAACGGTGAAATTTGTTGACGTAACTGATACTTTTCAAACAAATATAAAACACATTCAGACATGTGTTACAGATATAAAAATACCAGATTACGACAGATAAAGACTTAAACTTTATTGACATATAATTTTTATTCTTATAGGACAACCAGAAGTAGTTAAATTTTTTTTTTGAAAACCGCAAAAACTGACCCTAAAACGCACTTTTTCGCCAGTTTGGACTACCTAATTAAGGCATTAAGAATCTTAACTCTGGACAGCTACACACTAGTATACTAGCTACACACTAGGTGCCTACTGTAAACTACTAGACTGTAGGCCCTATGTAGACCTGCAATTGTATCAATTGTAGACTGGGTCCATTGTTATTATTCTAAACCATCTCACTTATAATGTTTCTAGCTTGATTTGTTTCTTTTATAAACAGTGAATTTAAAAAAAAATTAGCCTAATCATTAACCAAATAATAATAATGTGGTTATTTGTTGTTGGCTGGTATGATCTAGATTGTACTAATCTACTAGGCTACAAAAACTTAGTAGACCAATTACTAGATATGAATTTGAATTTAATTAAACTCAGTCCAGTATCAGATACATATTGCTGTAAAAAGACAACAAAGTAGGTAGGCCTTAGTAATTTATTAAAGCCTTCTACTACAATAATATCAACTACATGCTTGTATAAAGTTTTACAATTTAATTTAAGTAGCAGATTCTAGATCTAAGTCTAGTCATATAATCTATTTCAATTTCAGAAAATTTCGTTTGCTAAAAAAATGATTAGATAATAGAGCGAGATTTTAGATCTTAGAGACAATTAAATGCTTTATTAGGCCTATTATGACTACTTTTGATTTATTATGGGTGTATTTTGAATCGAATGTAGATCTAAAGTAATTAAATTTAAGTAAAGAAGTAGATTCTAGATTCTATGTCTACCCAGCGGAGCCAGGTATTAGGCCTACTATTAGATCTTATTATTCTTATTATTACTTTTGACTTTGTCTTTTACTATTAGTATTTGTGAAGGTCGAGCATATTTGTTTTATTAATAGTTATCTTTTATAATTAAAATGAAGTTCATTATTTTACTGTCCTTACATGAAACAAAGTATCGAGAACTGCATTTGATCAGATTCGGCTACTTTAACTCTAAACGCAAACAGTATTACTAACAGTATTTTTATTTAGAAATTTTGTCCACATATTTATTTATACGAAACTGTCAATAACAGTATAAGGATCTTCAATTCCTAAGAGTTCAAGTTTTTTAACGTATTTTTCCTTTTCCGCGGGTGCGGTTCTTTACATACAGTGAACGCGTCCAGCGCTGGTGAACACGTCCAGCGCTGGCGAACAGCTGATTGTGTTTACATCTTGTGTACACCACTGTGGCGGCGGGCGTAGGTATCACGAACGGACGTGACGTCATATGAAAGGACTCTATTGGCCAGAAATTTAGTTTTGGTCGACACGTCGATGTAAATCCCTTACACGATTTCTTTTAATGCAGCATAATAGTCTAATAGATAGACTATTGGTAAATTATGGCATACACATTAAACAGCTGTATATTGGTTAGTCATTTAAAAATAAGCATGTTGAGTCAAAGTCCACTGTAAGTCTATTTGTGTATGTTAATTGAATAAGAAAATAGTACACATAGACTCGATTTTAAAATAAACATTATGTAGGCCTATAAAGTTTGAATTATATAGGCCCAGAGGCGAAGCGAGGGGCGGGGCGGGGGGTGCGGACCGCACCGGGTGACACCATTTAGGGATTGACACCAAGGCAAAAAAAATAGTAAAATATATAGAGAAAACTTTGAGGGGGGGGGGGTGCAAATCGAAAATTGAAAGTTTGTCCCTGGGAAGGGTCGCTGCGCCTCTGGGGGGGGGGGGGGGGGGGGGTGACACCATTAAGTGCCGCACCGGGTGACACCCGACCTCGCTACGCCACTGTATAGGCCTAATTAATTATTATTGTGACACCTCTATTTAAATTTACTACCCAGACATGACTGGTAATGTTTCACAAGGTAAACATTCGTTATCACAACGACGTAGTATTATGACAGTTGGGCGTTAGTGACTAGACTACAAAAAAAATCAAGAGCAGAAACTTCATACTACTCACTACTTTGATTTACCAGATCTAGATCCACATTAAATTTGGTATTCTAAAAAATCTCAGCTTGAACCCACACTGATCGCATAGCTTATCCGCCGAGTTGTTGTAATGTATCGTCCCTGACACCACGTTCACTCTTCTGACATGTATATTAACTGTACATACAAGTCTTACGAAAAAATAATTCGCAGCGAGTTATTGTTACATAAAAACATTTTTCCCGCGGGACATGTAGGCCTATACGAACTTGCTGTGAGTTGGGTTTTTTTTCTAGACTTTTATACATGTCGCAAGTGTAAACGCGGTTATAAGCAATGCTGAATAAGGACTTCGGAAGGAGAAGCAAGGGCTGTTGGGCTTACGTGGGCTCAACTAAAGAGAACTGCCCTAAACAGGGTCCAGTGGATAGGTGCAGGTGTAACCATTTGCTCATCGGGGACTTAATAATAAGTCAAGTATTGTGCAGTTGGGTTGGTATCGGCTAGTTAGCAATTATTTAAGGGTAATCGCTGCATTTCAAGACTTAGGTATATAAGACTAGTAGTCTATATTGCGAACAAGACAACAGCGTTGCTTAAAATTTGTTAGTTATGAGATGGAAAGAAAACTAGTAAAGAAGAAATATTTAGGGGGGGGGGGGGGAATATATTTTAGATAGCCAACAATATCATCCATATAAATATATGCTAAACTGGAGACATATTGTTCTAACTGTACGCCTACATCTTCGAGTAGGTAGTTAAGTACCTCTTTGGAACCTGACAGTGACGATCCATGGGGCAGTGAAGTAGAGTTCACCTGATTCAGTGACCTCGCCACATAAAGGGACAGTGTAGTCAGCACTGACGCAACCGCCTTTACTTTCCCAAGCTTGTGTCAGATACCCATCAGAGCTGGGTTGACCCAAAAACGTCTACGGACACAAACCGTAAAAAAAAAAATACCCACGTGCAAAATATTCAAGCGACCACATCAACTGATACACAGAATAAATTTGTCCATAGATATTTTAGAACACTGCCATTTAGAAGACACATTTGACAGCACAATGCCAGTCAAATTTACTGCAATAATTGATACAAACATTTGTTTTGTGATACACCAGTACAGAGGCGTAGAGAGGGGGCGGGGGCGAGGGGGGTACACATGTCCCCGGGCGCCGACCTTAGGGGGCGCCAAAATGGGTTGGAAAAACAAATTAAAATATCATTTTAGCTGCAGTTTGCATTATAAATATTTTTTAAAATATGGGGGGGGGGGGGGGGGGGAGGGTGCAAATTGAAAGTTTGAGGGGGGGGGGGGAGGTGCAAATTGAAAGTTTGAGGAGGGGTGCAAATTGAAAATTGAAAGGTTGCTCAAGAAGGGGATGCCAAATTGAAAGTTTGTCCCCGGGCGCCGGGAAGGGTCGCTACGCCTCTGCACCAGTATCAACATATCTAGTAACTGGTAGTGCATTACTCGAATTTTGGTCCTTGTCAACCAAGCCTCAAAGATATTCTAATTTAAAAAGACAAAACTGAGAAACACAAAAGCTCTGAAAAAATTGAAAAGAAAGAAATTGTTCAATTGTTAAAGACAACAACCAAAATACGTGGTATTTAAAGTTTATAACTGCAGAAAATAAAGGAAATAGAAAAGAATAAAACTTGAAAGCATCATCGATACAGATCTCTATTTAAAAAAAATAAACCGAGCATGTTCGAGGGACAGTCGTGAATAACTAAAATTAATGAAAATAAAATAGATGCGTTTATCTCTTGGACGTTGTGGGTACTACAGTGGTACTGTTGCTTAGTGAAAGAGGCCTTCGTGACTGTACCTCTCTATTGAATAGACCAGTGGCGTAACCAGGATCGTCTCAAACTTTCGAATTGCACCCTCCCTCATGCTTTTTCTATATACCGAGGGGTCTATGGGGGGGGGGGGGGTTATGACCCCCCTAACCCCCCCCCCGCCTACGCCACTGGATTAGACACCTATTTTGTTGTCGGCGCTTGTAACTCAGTGTTGTTTAATAAAGGCGCCTATCATGACATCGGTGTGTATAGTAAAGTGTTGCCTATTTACAATGGAAACAGGACATTACCCCCCACCACCAACACGTCAATTACCCCCTGCCCAGTAGGACATTACCCTCCGGTTTAGCGTCTTAGCTTAAAGCTACAGTTAGGGCTAGAATTTGCGCACTAGGGCTAGGATCAGGGGGGGGGGTAATTACCTAGACCATTTTACAACATAGATTCCTCTTTAGACCGAGCGATCCATTAGGCAGATGAAGTATTCATATGTTCTTGACCTCGGAATATGAAAGGATAGTGTGGTCAGCACTTGAACCCGGATTCAAACTCGAGGTTTTCCGACACCATATTTTTAAATATACTGTTGGATGCATATTGAAGTCATGAGTTTTTTTTTAATCCTGACGTCACATTCCTAGGGCTTATTTTTTGTTTAGTCTGTTTAATGTTGTTTAATTCGTGCTCAACTCCGTTTGCAAAAGAACTAAGACTGTTTAGTTTTTCGGATGATTTTAGATAATAGACTCTTCCATAAAATAGGTTTGTTGGGTTGTTATTGTTAGTAGTATTGTAATCTCGACTAATTTTTTATGGTTAGAAAATAGGGTTAGGCGTAAGGTAAGACCAGGGTTGGGGTTAGCATTGAAATTAGCCAGCAGCCAATTGTCTATTTAGTTAACTACCAGAAACCTAACACCTCTTTTATAAAGAAGATTCTATTATCGGACATTAATATAACCCCCCCCCCCCCAAGTTTTTCTTGCATGTCTTTTTAAGGTCCTCTTTGATAGTTGTAATGTTTTGAGTCCAGTGGCGTAGCTAGGAATTGGTCATGGGAGGGGTTCAAACATTTTTCCATATGTAGGGGTTATACCCCCCCCCCTTTATTACGCCACTGTTAGAGTTCATCTGATGCCTCTTGCTTCATCAACCCCAACAGACATTACTATTTATAAAAAATATATATTCTGAAGGTAAAGGTCTTTATTCAAACCACATTTTAAAAAAAATTGTCATTTACAATTTATTCAAATTAGAAAAGAATAAAGTGCTTGAAAAGTAGACCTAGGCCTACCTCTTGACATGAAATTAACAAATGTATGTTCATATGTTGAAATACTGACACACAAGAAACTAGGCAATATACACATTTCAAAACTATTAGTCAAAGACAAAAATACTTTCCTGAAGTTTTTTGTAATGTTAGAGACTGTTCTGTAAATGAAATGTTACAGATAGCTCCATTTCTCTAACAATAAATACAGATACTTATCTTCATGAATTAGCCACACAGACTTTATACATGTTCATTATATATCAATATATTCAGGTGTGCTCAATATTTTGTCTTTTAATTTTAAAAATGTTTTAGAAGCCTATTTCTATAAAAATTATAGCCTTTTTTTTTTTTACTCGCAATCTGCATAGCTTCCAAACCCATTCTGACAGTTGTCTGTAAAACTAATCGAAGTTCTGTATCGACCCATTATGTCAAGTTTCAGGATACTGAGTAAAACTTGATGTTTATCTCTTGGAAACCCATTTTCAAACTCAATACATAATATGTAAACAAAACATTAACACAACATTTATTTCTCACAAAATAATTTTCAAATGATTTTAAAAATTTAGTTACAGGTTTTTATGTAAGAAGAAACACTGTACAAACAATAATGTAAATCAATCAGTTCTCTAGCCAATAATACATTTCATTGATCAATTGATGTAATTACACATTTTTTTTAAGAAGCCAGTAAGTATTTTTGACTTTGTATGATAAGAACAAAGCCTCAAGTTTAAGAAAATTCCGTTTAGCAATGAAAAGTATTATTACAGACCATTGAATGCAAAATATCTAACAATACTCACACACAAAGATTTTTACTGTGTACAATCAATCAACAGGAGCTCAACATTAATTAGAGCTCAATATCAGCTATCAACTAGAGCTCAATATCAGCTATCAAACTAGAGCTTAACATCAGCTATCAACAAGAGCTCAATATCAGCTATCAACTAGAGCTTAACATCAGCTATCAACAAGAGCTCAATATCAGCTATCAACAAGAGCTCAACATCAGCTATCAACTAGAGCTTAACATCAGCTATCAAACTAAAGCTTAACATCAGCTATCAACCAGAGCTCAATATCAGCTATCAAACTAGAGCTTAACATCAGCTATCAACAAGAGCTCAATATAAGCTATCAACTAGAGCTCAACATCAGCTATCAATAAGAGCTCAACATCAGCTATCAACAAGAGCTCAATATAAGCTATCAACAAGAGCTCAACATCAGCTATCAACTAGAGTTTAACATCAGCTATAAAACTAGAGCTTAACATCAACAAACATCAGCTATAAACTAGAGCTCAATATCAGCTAGAGCTCAACATCAGCAACCAATTAGAGCTCAACATCTGAAACCTTAATGCACCAACACAAAGACTTGTTAAAAACAAATCAGTGTTTCAACTTCTCATGCACCATACTCCGGAACTGTGAGAGAATTTTAGCCTCGCGTTTACTCCTCTCCTCATGGTTGAATGTTGCCAGGGCCCTCTTCTCATCAGCACTGTAAATCTGGTTTTCCTTCCTCAAACGTACAGCCTCCATACGACGATGTCTGTTCAAATAGGAAATTTTTCATTCAACATGTCAGATTAAATGTCCAAGACACATTATTAATAACCAGATTAATGAATTGATTTTTGAAAGAGTGTGATCGGCTCTCATTGAGCTAGATCCTACAAAATTTATTTAAATTTAGAGCCAAACATAAACAAATTTGAAAAATAATGGTTATACAATAAATTTAAGACAAAATGTATACAAATAAGGTGGTAGCTAGCATGGAGAAGAGAGGTCATGATATACTTTGTCATGGTCTCAATGGGAACAGGGCATTACCCTCCCCCATCAATACACCCCCCCCCCCCCCCCCCCCCCCCCCCCAGAAAATTTACCCCCTGTCAATTACCACCCACCCAGTAGGACATTACCCCCCGGTCATAGCTTAAGGTTCAGCTAGGGTAAGAGCCATGGTTTGAGTTTGGGCTAGGTCTATCTTTTAAGTTAGGGTTAAGGCTAGGGTTAGGCTTAAATCAATGTCTAGAGTTGGGTTTGGTTTTGGGTTTATTTTAGGGCTAGGTGAACTCTTAGGTTTTTCATCTTTGTCTTCATGTTAGGATTATGGTAATATATGGGTATCACTATCTTGGTGGATGGGGGGGGGGGGGGGGGGGGAATTGCTACAGGTGCTAATGTCCTGTAGTAAGTCTCAATATAGTAAAAAATTGTTCATGAGGCGTATTAAAAATATTTGAGAAAATAACTGACCTGCTGCCACTCATAACATATCCAACAGTTTCAAAGGACTCTATCTCATCAGAGGTAAGACCAATCTCACCACGACGGGGGATACGCTTGCCCTCAGCTATGTAGGCGGCCATAGCTGCACCCTCACCAGGCAGCAGAGCGCGACCAAAGCTGTCAGATGTACAGGATATTTCATTACAATAGAAAACATACAGCAATATCTTCAGGTTTTAATATTAGTTCAGATCATCAACTTTTCCAGTCCCTGCCCTCAGCATGCAAGTGGAGATTGTGATTAGATTAGATACTTAAATTTATTACAATTTAAAATTGTTTTATTGGGTATGACACTTGTCTTGTATATATACCATGTGCTTAAGAAAGTAATAGCCACTCACTCTATAGCAAAATTTAAATCACGCTTGGTGGAATATTTGCCCATTGTTCGGTGGGCCTATTGTTTTGATAATAAACTGAGTTAATACACTAAAGAAAATAGTGATCTTACTCTCTCTCAGTCAGTGTGTTTGTTTCAACAAATGGTGTTGGTCCCACATCATCTTCATCATTCACTTGTTTATCTGGCTCTGCACATAGAGTAGCAAACACATTAGGAAAACTTTTAGCTACAGATTAATATACACAAGGTTTTTATCCAGATACCACATGCACTTACTTTTGGTTTTTTCTAGCCACACATCCTCTTGTTCGGATTCTTCCGACGACTCTGTCTCACTCTCCTTCTTCTTCCTTTTACGAGATTTCTTTGACTTCCTTAAAAAAAGTATTTAAAAAAATTTTAAACAGATATTTTAATAGTAGTATACTTAAATAGTTTTTTTTTGCCCAGCAAAAAACCCCTAAAGCAAATAAGTTTAATAAGCATCAGTACATTAACAGTAGACATGATAATAAATTTAAACACCGACCTTGTCAGATTTCCTTACATGACTGCGAAAAAAAATAACTTACTTTTTCTTTTTTCCTTTCTTGGCCTTCTTTTTTTTCTTTTTCAGTTCAATTTCTGTTTGGTAGAAAAAGCCAACCCTTTAAAATTGTTCTTGTAACAATAATGTTAAAAATTTACATAACATTGAGCATATGAAATACAGCTGACATTAATGAAAATATCCTTAAGCCTAATAAGACAAAACAAATTTTTCCAGCTAAGTGTATAATCCTATTCTAAGCACACAAATTAAAAATTATTTCTACCTTCATCGCTATTATCATTAGTCTTTCTCTTCTTCTTCCCTTTTTTCTTCTTCTTATGTTCATCGTCTGACTCGGACCTGTTAAATTATATACCATGTTTTACAAAACAATCACACATCATTTAAAACTACAAGTGTTTTAATGGCAGTTTCTCAAGTGACAACTGGGACTACTCCAGCTGATAAATAATATTAGAAATGTGTAACTTGCCCCTGATCAGGAGAAGGTGACTTGGCCCACAATTCTGGTAGCCCACAAGCACCAATTCTCTCCCTTTCTTCTCTTCTCCTACATAAAAACAATGAAAATGGTAGCTACTGTGATGTATATGAAGTCAGTTTTGGAACTTTACATTTACAAATTAAGAACAATCACAAGTACTATTGACACCACACAACACTTTGATTAAAGACAAAACAAAACAGTGACACAATTCTGGTAACACATCTTGTCAAATGACCAAATTATCAAGATAGAGAACACTACACTTCTACCGCCTTTTTTTGGGCGGGGGGGTTGGGGGGGGGGGGGGGTGTGCGTGTGTATTAGATGAAAAATATCCTATGCTGAAATGCCAATGTGTAATATGAGTCATGTTTCTTTATTAAGTCAAGTTGTTAAATTAAAATTATGGCAATATTAAAGATTCAAACTCCGTCAAACATTTGCCACTTTGTCTAATGTACCACTATTAAATGTCATATGCCTATAGCGGTATTTAAAATAATAGCTGATTGGGTGAATGAGTGTTTTTCTTTCAAATGCCCCATTTGAAATTTTGTCAAGAAATGTCAATCTTCTTCTTCTTCTTCGTTCTTAATTTTTAGTGTTGGGAGGTATCGAGCCTTATCTGCCAGAGGGTTTGAACTTGAGACTTTTTTTCGAATTTATCAACCATGAGCTTTGCCTACTCGACCATGCTTCCATCACAATTAAGGATTACGTGTCAACTGGTTATGCGCCATTGAGGCCACTGACTCCGATTTCAGACTGCTTTTCTTTTTGGATTTGCTTCCATAGCCTTTGTCCAACCAAGAACAAACTACAAGGCAGCAGTTGTTTGATTTTGGAGGTGTCTCTCCTAGAAGAGTGGCTGTCCCCAGCTAACGAGCCTCATCTGCCCGAGGGTTCTAACTCGAGACTTTTCGGTTTAGCAACCATGAGCTTTACTGACTCGACCACGCAGACCCAAGAAATGTCAATAAAACAAACCTTTTAAGTAAACAGGAAACTAAAACAATCACAGAACTCTATTTTTCTATTGAAAAAAAAACTTACCTGTCCATCACAGCAGTATCCTCCCCTTGATGTCCCCCCCTATCCCTTGGTTTTTTAAAATGATGACCATCATCAGTGTTCATCTCTTTGTCCCAGGCTAGACGATATTTTTCCCTAATTATAAAAGCAGGATTTCAAATTAAATGTTTAGCAATAATAAAAGTGACATTTTATTAGTAAAAGAATAATAAATCAATTATTTACATTTGTGTTATCATTATCAAAGTAAATAAAATTCAGTATGTTCACATTCAGATATCACTTCTATAGTGGCATGTTCATGCTCAAAAGTTCAAATAAAATTCCAGGAGTTTTCCAGGAGTTTAAGAAAAATTTAAGGAGATTTTAAAAACAAAAAAGAAACCCAATTTGTACATTTAAAAAAAAAGCGTACTTAATAATAAATTTAATTACTAATAATTAGCTAAGCCAATGCAAACATTTAATTTCAGTAAAAGTAAAACAATATATTAGTTACATATTAGGTGTCTTCCCCCACCCACCCCAGCCCATTTTGGTCGATTTGGCAAGCTAGTATTAAGCTTATTAACAATTTTTAGTCAACCGAAAAAAAGAGCCGCTGGAAAAATTTATTTTCTATGTAGGCCTATAAAATAAAATAATGAAACGTTACGCGAATCAGCATAGTTTGATCGGATCGCAGCTATCCGGGTTAATTTCTAAAGAAGATTAATTTTGACGATTAGTCCTGAGCCGTAAATACTACTACAACTTTTTTTTTGCCGTTTCAATAGTTTAAGAAAAGTTATGAAACATGCCTGTCTACTTTAAAAATACAATAGCCGACAAGTCAAACACGGGAACACATGTAGGCCTATCTATCTTTAGAAATTGTTTATAGTATCATCCAATCGGGTCAATCGCCTAGCGTCACGTGACCACACACTAGACTGTGCCACACGATGTGTAGATCGCGGCAGTGCGATTCAGTCGGACGACGGCGATGCGTTTATTTTTATTTTCGTCCCATTTAAAAACTACTATTCAATTATTGGCGGAACAAAATCAAATAATTTTGATTATTTTTGCGCCGCGAGTTAATGAAATTTCATGAGATTTCATAAGAATTTTTAAAATTTCAGAATTCCAGGAGGTCAGTAGCGTAGCGAGGGGGGAGGGGGGCGGGGGGGACATATGTCCCAGGGCGCCGACCTTAGGGGGCGCCAAAATGGGTTGGAAAAATAAATTGAAAGGTTGAGAGGGGTGCAAATCAAAAGTTTGAGGGGTGGGGGTGCAAATCGAAATCTCGAGGGCGGTGCAAATTGAAAGTTTGAGGAGGGGGGGTGCAAATCGAAATATCAAGGGGGGGGGGGGGGTTGCAAATCGAAAGTTTGAGGGACGGGGGGGGTGCAAATCGAAAAGTTTGTCCCCAGGCGCCGGGAAGGGTCGCTACGTCTCTGCAGGAGGTTTTTATATTGTTTTAAATTCCAGGAGAATTTTACGTTTTTTAAGATTCCAGGAGTTTTCCAGGACCTCCTGGAATTTCAGGAGGCCGCACGAAAAGCGTTTCTTCCAGGCATCTCTTCGGCAAAGCCACCCCCCCCCCCCGAACGAAATTTATATAAAAAATATATACTTTTAACAGTGTCCGCCCCCCCCCCCCCCCGAAAAAAGTTCCCCCCCCCCCCCCAGAAAAAAAGTCTGGAAGAAACACTGTGCACGAACCCTGCATACCTTTCATTATCTCTGGCACCTCTAGCACCATGTCCTCTGTGGTTGGTAGAGTGGTATGTCTTGACATCTGGTGAGTTCTTCCTATGATGATTTACATTATTCCTGACAGGTGAATGCTTAGTATATTTGTGTCTTGCATTCTGTTGTTCAGGAGATCTGTGTCTGATTTTGGGAGAATTAGATCTGGACGAGTCTGATGATAAGGATCGCTGCCTAACTGTTGGTGATTTCGACCTTGATCTATAGTGACTTCTGCTAGATGATTTGAATTTTGGAGACAACGATTTTGAATTTGACCTTGATCTGTGTTGATGTCTGCTAGATCTGATATTCTTAGGAGAAGGAGATGACGATGATTTTCTTTGTTTCTTTATGGGGGATTTTGACCTTGATCTATTTAGCTGTTTTCTAGACTTTTTAGTGTAAGGTGAAGTGGATCGCGAGTGGCGTCTTTTTAAGGGCGGAGACTTTGACAAAGAACGATTGCGTTGTTTAGTATACTTTCTACTGCTAGGTGAATTCGATCTCCTTTTTATACTGGGTGGTGAATGTTGTCTATACATTTTTCTTTTGTTGTTAGCTTCTTCAGAAGAATGCCTATGCCCATTTCTAATAGGACTCTTGTCATCTGCACTTGAACTGTCAGAATCAGATGAGCTAGAACTAGAGCTATGCTGAGGCATTTTATAAAACGCTACTCATTGAGGTTTTTGGGCTGAAAAGAAAAATGATTTTAATAAATATAAATTCAACACAAAAAATAAGACCCAATAAAATGGTACTAGATCTAGATAGATCTACTATTATTTAACTATTATTTAAAAATGAGAAGTGGGCCTGTTGAGTGTAATTAGTAATTAAATAGGCCTATATTACTTTTAGGTCTCAATACTATTTAATAAATAATTAAATATGCCCTCTTCTAGAATCTACATTTTGGGCGAGAGTCTAGATCTAAATCTAACTAGATAGTAAAAATAGTTAGTCCGATAGATCTAGGCCTATTCAATTCTAATTCTATAAATCTAGTTGGCCTAGGCCTACTATCTAATTAGGGTGTTGGGAGATTGCGAGACGCGAAAAGGGAAATGGCAAGGCGGGAAAATGCAAGAAGATAATGCGAGACATACCTGCGGAATTAAGGGTAAATAGCGAGACACTTTTTGCGAAAAAGTTTTATTCATGCTTTTTTCATCTTTATTTATTTAAATTATTTTATTTTTTTGTTTTAAAATAATTAAGCATTTAGCCATACCCTTTAACACGAGTGTTGTATGTTGTTATTTTTTATCTAGATTTTATTATATAGATAGATAGATACTAAGAAAATAGATAGATCTATATGTAGATCTATCTATTTAAAAATCCTAACATCGTTGCTGTGCTACTGTCATCGGCCACTCTCGTTAGCGAGAGGAAAATCCCGTCTCAGTCGGCACTGATTTTAAAAATCTAGCCCGCTCATGTTTATACAAATGTGAGCTGTGTCATTGTGAATTGGTATAATCTTGTCAGCAGGAGAGATATTCTGCAACATGTATTTATGGATTTTTGTACTTGCAAAAAGTGTAAAAGTATAAACAATTCTAAAAAGTGCAATTTATTTTTTTATTAAGTAATTTTAATTACAAACAAAATTTACAAACAAAATCTTCTGAAACAGTCCTAGCACTACTCTAACACACCTCGTGACACCATCTTTCACACATAGTACATCTAACCCAGTTAATTAGACTCCCATTTATACATTTTTCTTTGGCTACTTCTTCCAATTCACATTCACAACATGTCACATTCTCATCACAGTTGACCTCCTCGTTCATCCCACAAACAACACTGGCACCCATGTTCTCATCATCATCATCCGCACGCTCAACATCTGTTTTCCGTTTTTTATAATTTGTATTTTTTATCATTTCTGTCTTTCTTCTTTTCTTCTTCTTCGTTCTTAATTATTAGTGTTGAAGGGGATCGAGATTTATCAGCCAGTGGGTTTGAACTCGAGACTTTGTTCGAATTTATCAAACATGAGCTTTTTGCCGACTCGACCACGCCTCCAACACAATTAAGCGTTACGTGTCAACTGGTTATGAGCCATTGAGGCCATTGACTCCGATTTCAGCCTGCTTTTCTTTTTGGATTTGCTTCCATAGCCTTTGTCCAACCAAGAACAAACTACAAGGCAGCAGTTGTTTAATTTTGGAGTTGTCTCTCCTAGAAGAGTGGCTGTCCCAGCTAACGAGCCTCATCTGCCCGAGGGTTCGAACTCGAGACTTTTCGGTTTAGCAGCCATGAGCTTTACCGACTCGACCACGCCGACCCCCTATCATTTCTGTAATTTTGGCAATGTCTTACTCATTGTGGTCACCAGCCGGATCTACGTCAGCGGGGCGTGGACGTTTACGCCCTGAAGTTTTATCCTGTCGCTTCCTTGCAGCTTTTCTTAATTGTGTTAGATTTATTGATTTCTTGTTACTGTCGATAATCCCCTCTCTCCCCCCCCCACTAAAATGACACCTCAGCCGACAACCCCTCTCAAAATTGCAGTTTTTAAAACATCGATATTTTCCCAAAATCTTGTCTAATTTCGGTCAAAATAGAGTATTTTAATCAATTCCTATTACAATTTATTAAAACAGTTTTCTAAAACGCGAAAAAACGTCTAAAATTCTTTTTCGAACATTGCTTTTTTATAGTGTGACTTCACAACATCTAACCCCCCTCCTCCCCCTCATCGGGTGCGGTAAATTTTTCGCAGAAATCTTCGCATTTCAACACCACCCAGCGTAAGTATCAGGTTGTGGTAAAATGCGAGACAAAAAGTCACGTGACCGACCGTTTTCGCGCCCTTCTCGCATTTTCCCGCCTCGCCATTTCGCGTCTTGCAATTTCCCCACACCCATCTAATTATTAATTAATTCTAGTACACTAGTCTACAACAATGCTACAAACTAGATTACTGTCTAGCAGTTTAACTGAGTTTGTTTAGAGATCTAGTCTAGGCCTATGATGAAGGATCTAGATTTCCATTTTAATTTTTAGTTATTATTGGCATTTACTGTCAGCGTTTTTACTCTCACTTTCGGGGCCTTTCATTAACATTTTTTTTACAACAGACACCACAGCTCTTCTAGATTAATCTAGATCTAAGTCATTTCTAGTGTGTGTAGTGTAGACTGTAGGTACTGAATGAGTGTAAATTACTGTAGTGTAAATATATGTGTATTATTAGTATACTAGTACTAGAAATCTAGTAAGTTAAGTATAAGTATAGTAAGTATAGTATTATCTCTCAAGTTCCCTGAGTGAGTTAACTTCAGTTAACTAAGCACACCACACATGATCCAGATTCTTATCCTAATCTAGAGCTATTTGAAAATAGTTACGGTGTTAAAAAAACCCACAGAAATTGCCGTAGGGCCTAGCTAGACTATAGCCTACCTAGAAATCTAGATCTACTAAAACTAAAACATAAAATAATGAGTGCTCACTAAATTCTGAGGCGTACGTAAACAGAACAACTTGAAAGCCAAAGGTCTACTTCCGGGTGAAATGAACTCAATTAGTTTCGCTTTTCAATAAGTAAATTTTTTTTTATTAATTTAAAGTAGATTAGGCCCTAAGTAAAAAAAAATAAGCCTTGTTATCAAAATATTTTTTTACCTTGAAATAAGTACTGAATCCACTTGTTTGTATCTTGAAGAGTAATACGCCTAAAATTGTTGTGATTTATAGTTTTTATTATATTAATATTTATATATTTTTTAAAATAAGCCTAGGCCTATAGCCTATTAATTATAAATTATCCTATTATAGTCTATTTATTTCCTGTGTGATGCATGGCTAGATATAAATATTAAATATATACTAATTATTCTCTAATAGGCCTAACTGTTTTAATAAATAAAATAAATGAACTAAGAATCTAATACTTGTGATCCATTTAACAACAGAGAAATGATGCAGTTATCATGAATGATGACAAGCCTCAAGGTCTTTTACTATGTCAATAAAAACAACAAACTAACAGAATCACCAGAAGATAAGTTTGAAACAAATAATGCCAGTTTATTTGGTAGAAATATATAATTTTTTTTTTTTTTTTTGCAAAAGAACAGTCTTACACATAACAATATAATTACATTCATCACTTTTAAAATCTTTATTCATTTTGCTGAAAGAAAACTTAAACTATTTAACTTAAAGCTAATGTTTGATAATCAATATATATATATATATATATATATATATATATATATATATATATATATATATATATATATATATATATATATATATATATATATATATATATATATATATATAATGCATTAGTACAACATTCATCAGATCGCCATGAAACTTTGTGAAGTTGTTGAGTACAATTAGCTAAGGTTGTAGCCGGTTAAAATTTAAAAAAATATAAGGCATGGTGCTTGCAGTACCGTGCAGTTGTGACCCCCTAAGAACCTCACTGCCATCTTAGCACCTGGAATCCACTGATTGGGTGTCATGCAAAGGGGGCTCAGGGTTACTATTTTGCATACCAAATAGCAGCAAAATAAATGGAGCCATCTTCTTCTGTGTATTCTGACAAGGACTGCAGTGCCACATCCTCAGCTGCGGCCTCTGCTAACTCTGGAACTAACCCATACTTTGATATGGCTGTTCTCTGGTATCTATTGCCAGGCTGCCCTGAACTCCAGCATGCACTAACATAAGGTTTACTATCAGCACTGTAAAACTTGGCATACACCAAACTCATTTCCCTGGCAATTTGCCTGTTTAACTCTGTGAGAAAGCTTTCTGGGCTAATTTGAACCCAGTAGAGAGTTTTTGAGTTATTTACCTTAGTTGTTAATCTTGTTTTAGATTTCTTAGACTTGAATTGACCATTAGTTTTGTGACTAAATGACAGAGTGTTAGTATCGGTGCAGACCTGCACATTACATTCTTTATTAAGTTGAGATTTTGCAGAAAGCACCACACTAACATATAAATTCACACCTATACTGGTTACAGATTGCACTAATATATCATAACTATTTATTAATTCTTTGGCTTTTTTAATATAATCAACTGCATTAATTGCTAAATATACAGTGAAATTTTCATCATTGAAACCATTTTTCATGTTTTTAAAAACTGCTGTGAATTTCAGTTCGCGGTTGCAGTCTGAATAAGAATCGAGGTAGTAAACAAATTTGTTTTCTGTTTTATATATTTCTATGGCCTTTTCTAATTCTGTGGTTGATTTATTAAAGAGAACAAAGTAGTTAAAGGGACTGGTAGACTTACAAAATATAGCACAGTACTTTGTTTCTTCATTTGCTGCATTAGGTTGCCTAGGATAAAATCTAACTTTATGAATTTTTGTAGTAGTCGTAAGATTTTCTGAAATTGCTGTAATTTGTTTTAAAACGTGGCTTTGGTTTTGAAGCTGTAATATTTCTTTCAGAAGCCAGGTCTCTGAAACACCAAGTAAAATAACCTGAGACAAATCACGGGTCATGATTCTAGTTCCTCCATTGTCAGCTAACCTGGCTACATCACAGTTGTACATTGACACACCTGCCACGGAACTTAAAGCACACTTAACAACACCATTCAAATCTGAATCTGACGCCCAGGAATTCAAAAGCAAACACCAGTTGTGTCCACTCCTGTGGTGGAATAAAGTCCCAGAGGTCCCCTCCATGCCGCCAGTGTGACCCCAGGAGTGCCCACCATCTTGAACATCCCAGCCCAGTCCATACCAGTCTTGACCATTCTCATAGGCTGGCTTGCCCATACATTCCACAGCCAGGTGATGTTTTAACAGAGCTGGGTGTTGACAGCTACACCCAGCACCAGCATGAGTTTTTACTTCAGGCAAGTTGTGTAATTTTATTAAACATTTCTCACAAAGAGCTCTAGTTGTTATGAGTTATGTAACTGGTGTAAACAATGCCCACATTGAGAAAACTGATGTCCAAGACACACATTAATTTCACTATTTGGTTCAAATTTTTCATTTGGAAGTTCAACAAAACAGGAAACTTCCATTTCACTTTTTTCATTTATCAAAGTAGTAAGTTTAGGTAACAAATTAACATTAGTCTGTGTTATGTTTTCATTGAGGTGTAGTTCAGGTTCTGTAGAAAGACTATTCATGAGATGGTGCATGGCAAAATGGCTTGAACTCACATGGCCACAGCTACAAAATGGTGGTGAAATATTGACAGGGTGATTATAATCTTCCCATAATGCACTTTTGTTATCTTCCTTGTAGTTAGGACCGGCAATGTTTAGTGTGTCCATTGTTGACCATGTCCTGTCCAGTGTTGACCGTGTCCTATCACAAACACCCCCATCCTTTAAAGCTTGCTCCCAGCAGTGAACAAACTGTAATAGAGACGTGGTGTCACTGACCAGACCCCCATACGATGCTGAGCTCTCCATGGCCATGCCTCCATACTGTGGGAGAACCTCTCCTTCGTTAGGGTAGAGAGAGTCAACAACTTGAGGCTCTTTGTTGTTGAAGTACTCAACCTGGATTTGAATAAAATTAATTATTTTCCTAAATATTTTTTTTTAGTTCATCAAAGATTATATTTCTATTAGTAAATTTGCATTGATTTTAAAAAAAAAACATCATATGTAAAAACCAGAACTATTTTCTAGTAATATTTCTTTTTCAATTTCTTTCTTTTTCTTTTCCAATTTAATATGTAAATAAATACTTTATAAAACCTCATTTAAACCTTTAAAATAGCACAAAACTCCCATATATCAAAAGAGAGGCTAACTATATTTAACATGTTATAGTGATTTATTTTAGAGTCATCAAGTTTGAGTGAGAGTCAGCATGCTAGCATCATTTACAAGTTCTTATTTTTGTCCCATATAATAACTGCATTTAAGTTTACAAACAACTAAGATTGAGAACATAAAGACAGGATAGTGTAAAGTCACCTCTTTACTCAACCAGCATGCCCTTTTTCTATGCCCAAGAAGTATGTTGTCAATGTGGACAGAGTGTATAAGGTTAAGCACAGAATTGTAAAATGGCTGATTGGTTACTGCCTCGATTATTTCACCAAGCGCTAGGTAGCCAAGGTTGGAGTAGGAATGCCAAGTGCCTGAAAAGTATCAAAAATTCATTGAAGAAAAACGGTTCTTTTGGTAAATAATTAAAATAATTCTGGGGGTGACTGTTTGGGTCAAAGCCAAGCTTTTTATTTCCTGCTGGTGGATATGGTGATTGTTACAGTAACAGCTTAAAATAATTTTGATATGACCCAGCTGGAGAAATGAGTACCTAAATAATATAGGGCAAATTCTGTACAGCACATGAGTACCTAAATAATATAGGGCAAATTCTGTACAGAAGATTTAAAATGTATTTAAATTAAACAAAACATGTACCTGGAGTGCACAGATTTGATTGGCTGGCGTGAAGAGATTTGAATAGCTGGAGTGAAGAGATTTGAATAGCTGGAGTGAAGAGATTAGCTGGAGTGCACAGATTTGATTAGCTGGAGTGCATAGATTTGAATTGCTGGAGTGAAGAGATTTGATTAACTGGAATGAAGAGATTTGAGTAGCTGGAGTGAAGAGATTTGATTAGCTGGAGTGAAGAGATTAGCTGGAGTGCACAGATTTGATTAGCTGGAGTGCATAGATTTGAATTGCTGGAGTGAAGAGATTTGATTAACTGGAGTGAAGAGATTTGATTAGCTGGAGTGAATAGATTTGAATAGCTGGAGTGAAGATATTTGAGTACCTGGAGTGCACAGATGTGAGTACCTGGCGTGCACAGGTTTGATTAGCTGGAGTGCACAGATTTGAATTGCTTGAGTGCACAGATTTGAATTGCTTGAGTGCACAGATTTGAATTGCTGGAGTGCACAGATTTGAGTAGTTGGAGTGAAGAGATTTGATTAGCTGGAGTGAGTAGCTAGAGTGCACAGATTTGAGTACCTGGAGTGTACAGATTTGAGTACCTGGAGTGCACAGATTTGAATACCTGGAGTGAACTGAAGTTTTCTCCTCAGGGCATGAGACAACAAGGCTGAGTTGTATTCAGGTGTGTCAGGGTGTTCTTGTATGACACACTGAGGTCTGACGAACACAGCATCACCAACCTTGTCGCGGTCCCATCCAGCTGAATGCTGCAGCAAGTGTTGGACTGTGATATTTTTCATTCTTTTGTCTCGAGTTTTGTATTTCTTTAAAATTCCTAAAATGTACAATAGAAATTTAAAAAAAAATAAAGTAAGTTTAAATATGCTTATTCTCAAGATAAATCAATTTATATCAAATTTCAAGTAATTTAATTTATTTGTGGTTATTTTGGAAAGAAAATTTACTTTAATAAAGTAGGAACAGCATACACAAAATACTTTCATAAAGTAAGTATAATATAAATTTAGAACATGTAAAATCATGTAGTCTTTTAATTTTACCATTCCTGCCAAAAACTCTGGAAGCCAAGGATAATTTTTGCTGCTCTATCAGTTTCATAACAATGGTTGCTGTAATAGGCTTGCTAATGCTAGCTATCTTAAACAGAGAGCTTGGCTGTACACGTCGACCACCACCTGCTGTACCATATCCTGAAAAAAAAATTTATATAACAAATTTTTGAAAAAATTCTAAGTATGATATGGTGGTATAAGTTAAAAATAAAGCTACACTATAATCTAATGTGACTTTTTATTCAGCAATTCTTGAAATTAATCTTTAATTTTTACTGAATTGTCTATACTTAGCAGATCTCATCACTCCTCCCCCTCCCCCCAATAAAAAAGCAAAGACCCACCTTCCTATAAAATAATCATAACTTTAATATTAATATGCTTCTCTGTACTTATGTTTTTTAAGGAAATGTTAAATGGATGCCAAGATTCATTTTGTATTCCTTCCCCAAGCAGCACATTACCCTACCCCAAACCAGATTTTGCAGTCAAGTCTAATAAAACTTTAAGAAAATCATACCCTGTTGGTAAAGAATTTCCCCATCATAGGAAACAGCAATGCTAGATCCTGGTATGTTTTGTTCAAGTAAAAATTGTTCTATAATGTTATCAAACTCCTTCCATCTTGTAAAAACCTGGTTGTTAGGTTGAGTGGTAGCTATATTAAAAAAAAATACTATAATTGAACAGATAGTTATTGAATTCTGTCCACTGAAATGAAAATGTTATATTAGCACTGTACAGTTAATGGGTAATTCCTCATGAAATAAAAAATGAAGACTTTGCCAGACAAAGTAATCAAATGCCTTTGAGCATGACAAGCCATCTTTTGGAGCAATCTAATAAAACAAAAATGTACAGAATTTTTTTTTTAATTAAAGACTGAAGAAGAGAAAACAGAAAGTGCAAAATATGATAGATGAATTATCACCTGAAATGACACTGTAAGAATGTTCTGTATGCACTTCTAAACAATCTTCTCCTGTACCCATTGCCAAACTTTCAATTGTTTGTATTTGATCATCATTCTGAAATCATTAAATATATATTTGATAAAAAGATAATAGAACTCTGGCTAATTTTTTTTTGTTATAGAGTGTTACAGGGTTCTAGTACTAGGAAGTCAACTGCCATATTGAATTATTAAACTAATTAATATTATTTCCAAACTCTTTAAAAAAATTTGATGATTGAAGATACTGATGTTAAAAAATAGACCCCATAAAATAGGTGTGTTAGGTTGTTAGTAGTGTTGTAATCACAAGTTTTATGGTTAGAAATTAGGGTTAGTAGTGTAGTAGGCATATGGCAGGACTACAGTTAGGGTTAAGCATTGACATTAGAAAGCCATGTGTGTGTTTTAGTTAACTACCAGTAACCTAACATCAGAGGCGTAGCTAGGGGAGGCCGGCCACCCCGGGCGCCGACCCTAGGGGGGCGCCAAAAGGGGTAGAAAAAATAATTTACAAGCTCATTTTAAGCTGCATTTTTTAATTATAAACAGTCAAAGTAAAGAAATTTAAACAGTCAAAGTAAAGAAATTTAACAGCTGAGAGCCTTTGCATATTAATTTAACTGTTTTCTACCTTGATTAAGTAACTGTAAAAGGTATATCCTTAAGAAACAGTGACCGGAAAAACTGCTTTCCAGCTTTCCTAGATGTGGAGGGGCGCTTTTTCGAAGACTAAAATCGGAAAAAATTAAGGAATAAATAACCCATATCATTCAGAAAAGAACCTTGGAACTAAAGCGTATTTTACGATTGTGTAACATAAAATCTGCTCTACCATTTTTGTCCATGATGGTGGTGAGGGGTGGGGGGTGCTTTTTCACCAACAAAAATCGCAGGATTTGTACTGGATCGGTTACTAGATAACTCTTTTAACACTTAGAAAAGAAATGTGTTTCATTATACAATCAACCAGTCAACGAAATACTCATATCGTATTCCAATGAGAACAATAATTTGTATGACCTTAATCTAACAAACTTATAATCCAAATATATATTATATCATAACAGAGACTGTTCCAAAGATAAAACATAAAAAGTCTGTCCTAAACGATTTAGCACCGCTACAATTTTTTTCTCTGACATTACTAATCATCATCTTTAAAGGAAAATGCATCTTAAGGGGAATTTAATTATCGTCGAGTAAAGTTTTAGCGAACGACAATCATACAGCGTAATTCTTTTTTTTCAATACTGTCGCACACACATACACACACACACATATATATATATATATATATATATATATATATGGGGGGGGGGCGCCAAACTGAATGTTCCCCCCGGGCGCCTGGAGGGGTCGCTACGCCACTGCCTAACATCCCTTTTTAAAGAAGATTCTATTATCAGACACTGGTATAAAAAATCCCCCAGTTAATACTAATACTATAGTAATACTAATCAGTAAGTAATCAGTAATCAGGGCCAGGGCAGGGTAATGATTATGAATGAATGATATTGTCTTGTGTGTCAGTAGGAGTTACTCATCAGATTAGACTTAGAGCTGGGTAGACTTTACTCTTTACTTTTTAAATTGTCATTTAGGGGGGGGGATGGTTTTTTTCATTTATAATGTGTAGAGTGTAGAGTGTAGAAGTAGAGTAGGTAGATGAGTGTAGTGCAGTGTAGACTAGTGTAGAGTCATGTCAAGTGTTATTAAAATTAAACTAGCCTAGCATAACGGCATAACATTAATTTAATATATTATATCTATTTATATAATATATTAGGACTAAGTTATTTTATAATATTTATTTATAAAGTAAAAAACCTAGCAGTGTACTTTGTTTCTTCCATGAATTAATGGTATTCCGTTGTATTGTGATCCTTGGCAGTAAAAAAATTGTTCGCTTTTGAAGACTCTAAAGTAAGGCCAACAACTCATTATAATAACAGTTTAAAAAATAAATGTTGGCCTTATAGTATAGTATAGGCTAAGAATAAAATTAGAGTAAGACAATTAATAACATAATATTTAATAATTTATGCTGTTGACGTCACGACTAGAATCTGCATATGTTTACTTATAAATAAACCTGCCTTTGATTTGAATTTATCCTTAATTTTACAAAATAGTTTATGAACGGTTGTATTAATGTGTGGTGGTTGTGGACACATCTAGCGTGATCTACATATTTTATAAAAATTTTATACACAAAATAAGGCTTCACAACTTTGCTCTGAGTGAGTTTTGTGTATGTGTGTGTGGGGGGGGGGGGGGGGGGCATGGTCTAGACCGCGGCATCGTCTTTACAAACTACAGTCTTTTAAAGCGTTTTCCGAAGCGATACCGCATGGGCGTGTTTCAATGGGACCGACTATTTTGCGAAAAATGTGTTGCATTATCCTATTTGGCCTGTTTTTTTGTGTGTCAGCGTTTCATTTTCAGCTTGTAGTAGGCGTCAACGAAGAACAGTTTGATTCCCGAACCAGCCTCCCCCCCCCCCCCCTCCACCACACACAAGGTGTCGGTGGTAAGCTACGCAACATATATATATATGCCTATATATATATATATATATATATATATATATATATATATATATACACATATATACTGTTTTTTCTCAACGTGTCTGACATCACAATAACACACAACTTGCGGGCTATTATTTACAATGGTTGTATAAAGAGTAAAGATTGGCGGCTATTACTTACAATGGTTGTATAAATAGTATCTTAAGTCACGACGCGATCTGTTGCTACAAGATCCGCCAGGGCTAAGATACATATGGCCGAGGGGAGATGGAAGATACGATCTCCATGTCCATTATTTTAATGTGCTCCCGCCTAGATCTCCCTACCGTATATCCTCAAGTAAACCGACCGGCTGAGTGTTGTTTCTGTAGGCTCTAGATGAGAAATTTACTTACAGATAGATGTAGACCTTAAAACACAATTATTTGTTTTTCAGGAACTGAATTCACTTGACGTTTTTTTTTCTAGAATTAACAAAGAACGGAGAAATATTACAAACAGATATATACACTTGTAATCGACAATATGACATTTATTTAATTTACCAGGTTTTGGTAAATTAAATTAAAATTAGTAGGCTAAATTAAATTCTACACAATTTAGTTTCAAAATCCAGATCCATGATGTTCGTATACTTCACTGCCAAGACGTATATAGAAAAACGATTGATCTAGCTTATGCAAGCAACAGAAAGCTGTGTCCTTAAAAATGCCTAGTATCAATTAGCTACAATTAACCATTTTAACATATTAAATTTAAATAAAAAGTTTAATAATATGAGTGTGAGATAATATTGCAAAATCAAGATACTTAAAGGAAAATCATTAGGAAATATATGCAATATTTTGAGCGTGCAAAACAAATATTTTTGTATATAACTACGGTACTGTCCAGTAAGAAGTCGCATAAAATGTTTAGAAAATTGGTGTTTGGATGGTTGGGTTATTTTTAAGTATACGGGTCACATGATCACCTGTCGATCTCTCTTAGGACAGGTTGTAAAATTTGTGTACTTAGCGCAGAACTTGGATATCTTAACACATGTTCGGCGACAAATGGTCGTCGATAAAAATTCCGCTACGCTTTGTAGGAGTTAGACACGTGATCAGCCACTCTAGTTTTAAAGTGCAGGTAGGTTTAGCTTTTTACTGCAATAACATTCATCTAAAGCTTTTAACAGGTAGGTTTAACTTTTTACTGCAATAACATTCATATAAAGCTTTTAACAGGTAGGTTTAACTTTTTACTGCAGTAACATTCACACAAAGCTTTTAGTAGGTAGGTTTAACTTTTCGCTGGAGTTACATACACATAAGGCTTTCTTTGCATCCATATTTTGTTGTAGCTTTTAACAGGTAGGTTTAGCTTTTTACTGCAATAACATTCATCTAAAGCTTTTAACTGGTAGGTTTAACTTTTTACTGCAATAACATTCATATAAAGCTTTTAACAGGTAGGTTTAACTTTTTACTGCAGTAACATTCACACAAAGCTTTTAGTAGGTAGGTTTAACTTTTCGCTGGAGTTACATACACATAAGGCTTTCTTTGCATCCATATTTTGTTGTAGCTTTTAACAGGTAGGTTTAGCTTTTTACTGCAATAACATTCATCTAAAGCTTTTAACTGGTAGGTTTAACTTTTTACTGCAATAACATTCATATAAAGCTTTTAACAGGTAGGTTTAACTTTTTACTGCAGTAACATTCACACAAAGCTTTTAGTAGGTAGGTTTAACTTTTCGCTGGAGTTACATACACATAAGGCTTTCTTTGCATCCATATTTTGTTGTAGAAATAAAGCTCATCATACAAGATATTTTTATCACCACCTTGTGTTCATTGTTTGGGGACAGCGTGGTCGGATTGTAGAGCGTACGGCTGTTAACACGAAAATTTCGAGTTCGGATCCCGGAATTGAGTACTTAGTTTTTCCCTGACGGGTACATGATTCATGCTAGGGAAAGTAATGGCGGCAGAACATAGTGCTGACCACACTATCCCTTCATGTGATGAAGTCACAAGAATAGAGGCGTACAGACTCATTACGGCGCCCGGGGCGAACTGTCAAATATGCGTCACATGGGCGAAAAAGCCCCCCCCCCCAACCCATTTTACAAATCAATATCCCTTGGCAGTTATTATGTCGTCACAAAATTGAAAATAGTTTAGTTAGTTGTCAATAATTTCTAAATATTTTTTTACCCCGTTTGGCGCCCCATTATATTCGGCGCCCGGGGCGGGTGCCCCCACCACCCTATCATATCTACGCCTCTGCACAGGAACAGGTGAACTCTGCTTCATTAGAATGGTTCACCACTACTATACCACAAAACTCTTGTTTAAAACCCAGAGGCGTAGCGACCCTTCCCGACGCCAGGGGACAAACTTTCAATTTGGCGCCCCACCCCCTCAAACTTTCAATTTGCACCCCTCCCCCCATACAACTTTTAATTTGCACCCCTCCTTCCCATATATTTTTAATATTTATAATGCAAAACTGCAGCTAAAATAAGATTTTAATTTGTTTTTACAACCCATTTGGCGCCCCCTAAGGTTGGCGCCCGGGGACTTATGTTCCCCCCCCCCCCGCCCCGCCCCCTCGCTACGCCTCTGTTAAAACCGCAATCTGTTTTGTTTTGGGAGTTTTTTTAAACAGCATTAGACGCAAGCTTAGATGGTGTAAATCTTTGTGAAAGATGCTGTTAGATCTTAGAATTTAATATTCATTTGAAAAAAAAATTCTTTGCTAGTCCGTAGAGATAGATTAAATAAGATTAAAGATAAAACAAAACAAAAATCTTTAAAAAATGATATATTTTATTCACTACAACGATAGAAATATTCCTACCAGTTTAAAAAAAAATAATTAAAAAGGGATTTGTATTTATTAGTGATAATTTAAAAAAAACAACAACAACAAAATGACAAGTATGTTATACGAATTTTATGAAACAATAAAACTAATATGTAATAAAGATTACTTTCCGATGTAATCACAGTACACCCATTTCTCTAGCCAAACTAGCCATTATAAAATTTATTCATGTCCGAGCAGAACTGACACCACTCGACTCGTGCAACCATTGTGTGATAATGGCCGCCTTAAGGCTCATAGAGAGTCACACAAATTTATCTGATTGTATTCCCTTCCCTATACCTAACCAGGATTCTTTTGCTCTCTCTGGGGGCGGGGGGGGGGGTATTCAAAACTTAGGGGATTGGGGGGGGGTCGGGCAATTATAAGAATGTTATTTTTTTTCTCTATTCCTTCCAGGGGGGGGGATAGGAGGACAGATGCCCAACGAGAGATGCCTGAAAGAAACCTAATGTAAGACGTCGTTAAATGCGAGATATTCCCTCCATTGTTGTAGGCTATTTGTCATTAGCCGTTTACATCTTCATCACTGTGCTGTTTGAGGAACCATGCCTACATCAGATGAAAAACAATTTGGCATTTTTTAACGCAGCATTATGAAACGGTGTGGCCTAGCAGTAGAGAGCTAGACTGCTAACCCGAAAGTCTTGAGTTCGAATCCGGGTTCAAATCAGCAGAATGTCCTTAACACACGGTAGGGAAAACAAAGACGGCTAGGCATAGTGATGACCTCACTATCCATTCATATGCTAATGTATCTCTGAAACAGATGAACTCTACTTCATCTGCCCATCATGTCTTGGGCACGAACGGGAAATGATGATAATGAACGTAGCATTTTGTGACATATACGCAGAACATAACATGACATGACACTAAATGGAATCACTAAACCCAGGCTACACATTTAGGCTATTCGATATATATATATATATATATATATATATATATATATATATATATATATATATATATATATATATATATATATATATATATATATATATATATATATATATATATATACAGACATTCCGTGCAAACTGTACTTTCTCTCGCGTAAACCTGCCATCAGGGTGCGCGGACCTTTGACCACAGGTGCTTTGACCATAGGGGGTTTGACCATAGGGGGTTTGACCATAGGGGGTTTGACCATAGGGGGTTTGACCACAGCGGAGCTTTGACCATAGGGGCTTTGACCATAGGGGGTTTGACCACAGCGGGGCTTTGACCATAGCGGTGCTTTGACCATAGGGGGTTTGATCATAGGGGGTTTGATCATAGGGGGTTTGACCACAGGTGTTTTCTCAGCAGAGGGTCTTTGATCACAGGTGGTCTATCAACTGGTGTTTGATCACAAGCGCTTTGATCATAGGTGTGATACAATTAACACGATTTTATACATGTTTCCTGAGAGTACGTTAAAAGAAATTAACATGTATTTTAAAAAAGCCAAGAACTATATTTTAGTCTACACATAAGGGCTGGTGCTAGACCTCATAGATTTATTTTAAATATAAATGAAACACAAATAATGCGACTTATAACAAGTTTCACAAATAAATAATGTAGAAGTACTTGAAAATACATAGCATATATGAAGGATAAAAAATGATACAAAACTTGCCAACAATATAGTCAAAGATGTAAATCATAAAATGGTTAACTAAATGACAGATGTGCTATAGCACGCAAATATGTCAGTATATCTGTTTGACCATATTATTACATCATGTCGAAATTTAAAATATAATTTAGCAACTTTTAAAATAAATCCTTACCATATATGGACAGCATTGGACAAACCACCTGAGATCAAAGACCCTATGTGGACAAAACACCTATGATCAAAGCCGGACACAGCGCTTGTTATCAATCACCAGTTGATAGACCACCTGTGATCAAAGACCCTCTGCTGAGAAAACACCTGTGGTCAAATCCCCTATGGTCAAACCCCCTATGATCAAACCCCCTATGGTCAAAGCACCGCTATGGTCAAAGCCCCGCTGTGGTCAAACCCCCTATGGTCAAAGCCCCTATGGTCAAAGCTCCGCTGTGGTCAAACCCCCTATGGTCAAAAGCCCTATGGTCAAAGCACCTGTGGTCAACGGTCCTAGGACCGCCATCAGATAAAGAGTAACTGAATTAACGGCCATATTCTAACTTTCAGCATGGAGCTGATTCCTCGCCTGGAGATGGTGGGTTCAAAGGTCACAGGCAAGAAGAGAGACCACGACAGGCATGTCGAGCCGTCTTTACACCCAGAGGACATTGACCCCCGATTGATGACGTCACCTGAATTCATGAACATGCTGGGTTTGACACCATATGGAAGGGTGAGTTCAGTTAAATATATGGGAGTGTGGGTTAAACATACGGGTGGTGTTAAACTGTGGGAGGGTGAATTAAATAAATAACATTTTAATATAAAACGAAAAATAAAAATTACGTAATTGATAAGCAGATTCTAACAAAACAAGAAACTATCAAAGTACAAAAGCTCAAGTTAATAGAACGGTCCTACAACCTACCCCACAAAACCCTCGTGCTCCACACATATACTGGATAACCTCTATCATCTTGTATTTAAATATAATCATGTATTGTATGTAGAGTAGGTAAACACTATTTTACTGTTGTAGAATTATTTTCTTTTCTACCCTGCTAGCGTAGGTCTGGTAGTAGACTACATTTTCATGACTAGGGCCTCCATTGGTGTACATAAACCTAGTTTTCGATGAACATCGGCTTGTTTAACAGTTTCTAAGATTTTTAGCAGAGTTTCTTCCAGGCATCTCTTCGGGGGGGGGGGGGGGGGGGGGGGGGGGGGGGCAAAGCCCCCCCGAAAATTTTTTACCGCCCCCCCGAACGAAATGAAATTTATATAATTTATATAGAAAATATATACTTTTAACAGTGTCCGCCCCCCCGAAGAAAGTCTACCGCCCCCCCGAAAATTTCAAGTGCCCCCCCCCGGAGAAAAAAGTCTGGAAGAAACACTGATTTTTAGCCCCTACGATTCCCCAAAATATACCGATACCCGTTTATTTTTTCAGGGCCCGCTGAACTTTGACCGATTCCCACAAACTTTCAACCCTGGATACGACTTTGACAACCAGTCGATGGCGGGCTCCAACCAGCCTCTGAACGGACGGAGGAAAGAGCGCAGACACAAACTGGCGAGAAACGCGGTGATTGGTCTACTGCTCATGGGTCTAGCCGGATGTATCGTCGCCATAGGCTTCCTCGCGGCGGATAGAAATTCAAACAGTCAGTAATCTCAGTAGGGGATCATCGATAAATGACATCACGCTTTTTTGATGATTTTTACCCCCCCCCCCCTCTCCCTCAGTCACATCGTCACAAAAAGCTTGACCCCGGCCATAAAATGACGTCACACCTAACCCCCCCCCCCCTCAAAATTGCAGTTGAATCTTTCTTAAAAGAAGATATTTTTTCAAAATCTTGTGTAAACTCTGTCAACATAGAGTATATTAATCAATTCCTATTACAATTTATTAAAACTGTTTTCTAAAACGCTCATCACACACTGTCACAAAATTAGACCCTCCCTCCCCCTTACGAGTGTGACGTCATTTATAGACGACTCCGTGGTTTAAAAAAAATATAATCTCCGGAGTAGTTTTAGTATTCTTTGAAATGTGACATGAAACATGTTTTAGATAAAAGAGAAGGTGAGGTTTTATTATGAAATTTATATTTAAATTTTGCAGTTCAGTTAACCTAAATATAAAAAAATATAAACTTTTACCAGTGTCCGCTCCCCCCCCCTCCCCAAAATTTCACGTGGCCTACTCAGGTCTACCCCTCTGATGGGTACCTGACTCACGGTAGGGAAAGTAAAGGCCGCTGGACATAGTGCTGACCACATTATCCCTTCATATGCTGTACTTTATCTGCCCAATAAATCGCTAGGTCTAAAGAGGAATCTTTACCAAGTCCATTTATTTGATCTGTCTAAAAAATACACTTGGACTCATTGCATGAATATATCACATTATCTTTGCAATAGTACTGTAAAATTTTTTAAATAAATTATTTTCTCAATTTCGACCCAACTGAACAGGGGGCGTGGCAGCGACGGCGGCCGCTGAGATCTCCACGGAGGAGCTGGCTAAAGTTTTGGCGTCACGCGGCTTGGCTGTCAGGAACTTTTCAGAGGCAGAGCCTGGATACTCTTTGGTGCCAGTACAACACCAGGCGACACCTGCACCGCTAGAGACGCAACCACCGTCTCTCCCAGCAACCCAGCCACAGCCTTCTGTAGTGACACAACCACCTGCATCAATCAGACAATCCCCGCCCACTGTGGTCCAGTCTCCGCCCCCTATAGTCCAAACACCACCCTCTGTCATTCAACCACCGCTGCCATTGGTCCAGCCACCTACTCCTGTTGTTCAATCTCCACCCCCTGTAGTACAAAATCCGCCTCCTGTGGTTCAATCACCGCCCCCTATAGTGCAAACTCCGCCTCCTGTACGACCAACCCCGCCCTCTGTAGTTCAACCACCACCCCCTATAGTACAAACTCCGCCTCCGGTGGTTCAACCTACGCCTCCTGTAGTACAAACCCCGCCCACTGTGGTCCCACCTACCTCCCCTGTGGTCCCACCTACCTCCCCTGTGGTCCCACCTACGCCCCCTGTGGCACAACCAACACCCACTGTAGTGCAAACTCCACCCCCTGTGGTCCCACCTACGTCCCCTGCGGCACAACCAACACCCCCTGTAGTGCAAACTCCACCCCCTGTTGTCCCACCTACGCCCCCTGTGGCACAACCAACACCCCCTGTAGTTCAGTTAACGCCTCCTACGTCCATAACCCCATCTAACACATCGAAACCCCCACCCCCACCCCTTGCACCAGCACCTCAGCCCACTTCATCGACAACCCAACCCACAATCACCTCAACACCCCCCACACTTCAGCCAACAACACAAGCACCTCCTCCCCTCCCCTCCCCGATCCAAACCACAATTTCAACTACTACCCCCAAGCTCCAGCCCACACCCGCCCCTACAGTCAACCAACCACCACCACCACCAACCCCCACCATCAACCCACCACCACCACCAACCCCCACCATCAACCAGCCACCACCTCTTGCGCCAACTAGCAACAGTAAGTCTTAAAAACAAAGATTACACTCACACTTAACATCACTCAACCAAGCTTTAATCTGTATCTAAATTGATGGAAAAAATTCATGACCACATAAAAACATAGACAGGAAAGTCAGGTTTAATTCTTCATTATCCAATTATCTAAAGAGTCTGACCAATTTGATTAAATCAGGGGTCTCCAAACTTTTCAGTCCGAGGGCCGCATTAACTATCACATTTCAGTTCGGGGGCCAGTTACTTCCAGGAATGTCTTTGATTTCTCTGGGCAAAGTTCTTCAGCCATCACCATCAACCGTTTTTTCCGTGGACAAAAATATTTCTGCGGGCCGGATGAGAGGACATCGCGGGCCGCAGCCGGCCCGCGGGCCGTAGTTTGGAGACCCCTGGATTAAATGATAGAATGCAAAAAAAAAAAAAACCCACACCAGACCAAAGAAACTAAACACTTGTAGTGTCTTTTAAAGGCTGTGAGACAGTGACATACAAAATATTTTACAGAAAAATGTTTTTGAGAGAAATACAATTTTACTTCAATGTTAATTCATAAAGTTAAAAACGTACTCGAATTAATAATTCCACTCATTTTTTTATTGGAGTACCATTAAGAAAGGGAAGCAACTAAGATAATTTTTCCTCCCAGAATTAAAGATTCAGGTTCGACCACTCGTTCTCAGCAACACCTCTGTGATTGGCTGCTTGTACAACGACACTGAACCCCCCGACGTGCTGTTTATATTACGACTGGACAGCCTGGACAACCCCAAACCCATGGCGATCTTCGCCAAGAATTCGCCGCCAGTTCTCAACGAAACGCTGGAGCCGCTGTACTACGCAGCCAACCAGTAAGTCGAAAAATAGCTCTGTCTCTCTCCTGTGTTGGGTGAGGCAGAGGCGACGCGAGGGCGAGGGGTGCGGACCGCACTGGGTGACACCATTTAAAAGGGGTGAAACAAAGACGAATAATTGCAAGATATGTAGAATAAACATGTTTTTTCCCAGTTCAATGAATGGTTAATTAGCGTGAAAAATATTTTAAGTACATAATGACAATCGCGACAAAGGGGGGGGGGGGGGGGGGGGGGCGCACACACACCATTATATAAACATGCAAACTATAGAGAAAACAATGCTAGACCCAGGTGTATTAACAACCGACTATAGATAAACATCATGTACCTCAAATCTCCCCCCCCCCCCCTACCAGGAACTTGAACAGTGCCGTCAAGATTTACGCCTTACAGATACGCCGGGTTCGCTGTGTGGACGCCAAACCCTACAGCTGCTTTGTGCCCACACCCCCTGACGCCCCCATGATGGTGGCTGAGGCTAACAGCACCCTCACTTGTAAGTAGGGGGAGGGGTGGATTGGACCTGCTGATAGAGGAGGATATTGATTATGTTTTAATTAATAACTAAAAGCTACGTATAACTTGTGTTTCCTATTTGATATTTGACGTGCTACCTAATGTTTCCTACTTGAATCTTGACGTGCTACCTAATGTTTCCTACTTGATTCTCACAGTGTCACCTAATGTTTCCTACTTGATTCTCACAGTGTCACCTAATGTTTCCTACTTGATTCTCACAGTGTCACCTAATGTTTCCTATTTGATACTTGACGTGCTACCTAATGTTTCCTACTTGATTCTCACAGTGCCACCTAATGTTTCCTACTTGATTCTCACAGTGCCACCTAATGTTTCCTACTTGATTCTCACAGTGCCACCTAATGTTTCCTACTTGATTCTCACAGTGTCACCTAATGTTTCCTACTTGATTCTCACAGTGCCACCTAATGTTTCCTACTTGATTCTCACAGTGCCACCTAATGTTTCCTACTTGATTCTCACAGTGCCACCTAATGTTTCCTACTTGATTCTCACAGTGCCACCTAATGTTTCCTACTTGATTCTCACAGTGCCACCTAATGTTTCCTACTTGATTCTCACAGTGCCACCTAATGTTTCCTACTTGATTCTCACAGTGCCACCTAATGTTTCCTACTTGATTCTCACAGTGCCACCTAATGTCCAGAACCCTGTAGTGCCAGCCAAGATTGTGATTGGTCAGAATACAACAATGAGCTGCTCTTCAGTGGAGTTTAACTCGGTACGTTTATGTAGTGGCGCCACTAACGTGTAGAAGTTTAACTCGGTACGTTTATGTAGTGGCGCCACTAGCGTGCAGAAGTATACAGTATAACTCGGTACGTTTATGTAGTGGCGCCACTAGCGTGTAGAAGTATACTGTATAACTCGGTACGTTTATGTAGTGGCGCCACTAGCGTGTATAAGTTTAACTCGGTACGTTTATGTAGTGGCGCCACTAGCGTGTAGAAGTATAACTCGGTACGTTTATGTAGTGGCGCCACTAGCGTGTAGAAGTATAACTCGATACGTTTATGTAGTGGCGCCACTAGCGTGTAGAAGTATAACTCGATACGTTTATGTAGTGGCGCCACTAGCGTGTAGAAGTATAACTCGGTACGTTTATGTAGTGGCGCCACTAGCGTGTAGAAGTATAACTCGATACGTTTATGTAGTGGCGCCACTAGCGTGTAGAAGTATAACTCGGTACGTTTATGTAGTGGCGCCACTAGCGTGTAGAAGTATAACTCGGTACGTTTATGTAGTGGCGCCACTAGCGTGTAGAAGTATAACTCGATACGTTTATGTAGTGGCGCCACTAGCGTGTAGAAGTATAACTCGATACGTTTATGTAGTGGCGCCACTAGCGTGTAGAAGTATAACTCGGTACGTTTATGTAGTGGCGCCACTAGCGTGTAGAAGTATAACTCGATACGTTTATGTAGTGGCGCCACTAGCGTGTAGAAGTCGCATGAAGACACAGGTCAGATCTGAGTCGAGAAAAGGGCGACCCTTTTTTTTCCTCGAACAAATGAAAATTATTTTGGCAATAATCTCCTTTCACTTTAAACCTTAAAACTTTGTAATTAATACACCTATCGCGTACCTTCAATGTAATAGTCATGATGTACACTTAATTTATAATTACTGATTACACAACAAAAAGAACCACAGAAAACTACCTGCCTTAAATACTCCTTCAGCCAGGACTTACTGTTGGGCAAGTAGAGTTCACCTGTTTCCTTGACCTCAGGATACGTAGGTGTAATCTGGTCAGCACTATGTCAGGCGATGTTTACCGTACCTAATTCAAATCTGGTGCCATCAGAAATGGATAGAAAGGAAATAGCTTTAGTCTCAAGCCCTATATTCAAGCTCGTAACTTTTGTGTTTGTAATCATGTCCTCCACTTTATACATCTATATATATAATTCTCCTCTTCGAGCCGTTAGAAAACAAGCTGCAAACGCTCTCCCTACCTCCCCACCCCTACATGGTTTTAGTGAGCTGTGTTCACTCTAAATGTTTACAAGCAGAGCCAACGATTTTAAACGTAGGGGGGGGGGGGGGGAGGGGGGGGGGGGGAAGGAAGGGGGGGGGGGGGGGGTTATGGTCCTTAACGAGCTACTTATAGTGTTTTAAAGAAATATTTTCAGTGTCAGCGTTGGTACTGTCGAATTCACAAATTATGAATTATTGAAAATTAGAAACAACTAAATAGCGGCGTATGTTATGCCGCGGGCCGGCTCGTATACTACTAAAACTCAAGTTTGTTTACATGTTTGAATATTTGTTTTTTTGTTTGTCTGGTTGGCTAATGGAGAGAATCTGCTATATGTATAGAGCTGTAAAATAGTATGTAGGTAGAGAACAATTTTTGTTTTCAGACAGAGTGTTAATCACAAATTTATTTAAAGACGTTAATTAATTAATTTATTCTTTGGTAGATTAACCACATTAATTTTAAAAGTTTAGAAAAACGACTTTACTTTGAGTGAATAGTGACGTCACATGATTTGTTTACTTTTTAGTACAATAAATGGCGTCTCAAATACAAGATTTCGTATCTTATTCAGATCTTTAACGCGTTATAAAGCTAATTTTCTGTCGGCTATAACTTTAACAATACGTCCGTTTGCCTTTTTTATTACGTTCCAACACTTTTATCAATTTTCCACTCTCTTTTTCATTTAGTTTTACAATAAATTTCTCTAGCTCTACAATCTGTCCAAGAAAGTTATTTATAGATCTAGATCTAGAATCTAGGTCAAACCAAAGATTAATTAGTTAAAAATACAATCCATTTTGAAATCATAATACATTTTTGAGTTTCTTTATTAAACTACTTTAGTCCTAAAATACTTGATATAAATCTTTGTGATTTATCTATCTAGAATCTAGATCTAGAATAGGTCTAATCTATATCTAGAATTTAGCAAGAGCTATATCTTCGCAAAAACTAGACTTAAGCAGTCGTAGAATATAGATAATTCTAGATCTATCTAGATTTAGATAATAATGAGTTTCCATAAACTAAACTTTTTCAGACCTTTATTATTTTATATAATGTTTGTTTAGCTATGGAATTGGCTAATTTAAGATAACATTTAATTTGACAGTTAGTAGACTTAGATCTAGATCTAGATAGGACCTATGCGCGTAAATCAAGTTGCATAAGGAGACTCAAAGTATTATTATACAGCACAAAAAACATCAGTGACGTCACTAGTCTAGATATCTAAGCTGTTAGTATAATAGGCTTTCATACGGGTGGCACGGGTTCTAGACACATCACGTCAATGTTAAAAAAAATCATTTTTTTTTAGATGTGAATGATAAAGTTGCCTATCTGAACTTGGCGGGATACAGGGCAGGTGAAGTAGAGTTCATCTGCTTCTTTGTCCTAAGCATATGAAGGGATAGTGTGGTCAGAGACATGCTAGACCGGACTCGTTTTTTTTTAAACTATAAAAACTGGTTGTTTGACACTTGGCGGAACACTGGGCAGGTGAAGTAGAGTTGAGTAGGTCATCTGTGACGTCATTATATGAAGGGATAGTGTGGTCAGACCTATGCTCAGCCGAAATCGGTGTTTTTAAAAGATAAACAACGTCTTTTTGAATGTGAGGTCTGGTTATTTTATGATGATAAGTGACAGACGTGATGTCATTTATGGGAGACCCCCGAAACCCACAGTTATCCAAGGGATGACCGGGTAATCTAGTATATATATATAAATGTTATTTTACATGTCTATATTTTTTTAATAATTTAGAAATTCGTTTCCTGGGAGTTGATGCCACCTAGCCAGACAAGTTTTGTACCGTTTACATTTCCTGGTCAAAGACTGATGGGTGCTGCACTAAATATTTCAGCTGAGCTCAACTGTGGCATGTATAGGTTTGTAACAAAATAATTGTTTTTTTCTTCTTCAAGTTTGGGTCATTTAAAGAAATGTAGAACTACAGCATTGCAAGACTGGTGTATGTTTCAATGCTCAAAAATTTAGTGATATGTTTCAAACCTACAAACTTAAGCTGTATATTATAAATGTACCTACTTTTGTTGTTATATTCCATATCTAGCAACATTTATTGTAAATTTCAAATCCACCAAATTTTGTTGTTATATTCCATATCTAGCAACATTTGTTGTATATTTCAAAACCACCAACTTTTGTTGTTATATTCCATGTCTAGCAACATTTGTTGTATATTTCAAAACCACCAACTTTTGTTGTTATATTCCATATCTAGCAACATTTGTTGTATATTTCAAATCCACCAAATTTTGTTGTGTGTTGTAGATCTACCAGCCTCGTTGTGACCACCTTCAATGCCAGTTTAAATGGGGCCAAGGTCAGATGTGCCTCAGGGTCAACCAAGTACACGTCTAACTTTGCTGTTCTCAATGTGACAGCCACGGTGTAAACAATACTGGAGTTTCATTCAGGAAATAAAAGATGTTTTACTTCAGCAAAGTCGTCCTTGTCCAAATATTTTGTACAAATGTAACGTAACTTGATATTTTAAGTACAATCAATTGATGTATACACGTAGCATGCTTTACTGTATACATGTACAAGAACTTGATGTACAAATGTGTCATAACTTGATGTATAAATGTACAATAATTTAGTATACACATGTGCAATTACTTTATGTATAATTGAGCAAGAACTTGATATACAAATGTACTAGAACTTAATGCATGAATATGAAAGAAATGTACTAGATCTCGATGTACCAATGTATCAGAAATTGATGTACAAATGTACACGATCTTGATGTACAAATGTACTAGAAATTGATAGACAAATGTACCAGAACTTGATGTACAAATGTGCAAGAACTAGCTGATTTGCTAGTGCTTAGTAAACATAAAGCATTGTGTAATGAACAGTCTTATAAATTTTTTTCCTTGTGAAATAATTAGTATACAACATGGAGATACAGACTGTGAAAAACTAGAGGCTCACAAGAAGAAAAAAATATAATGGCCACACTGTTATTGGCTTCTTAATATCTTTAGACTTTAGGCTAATGTAGAGCACTGTTTAAAACGAACGTAGTTGTCACAGCGCTCACGGGAAAGGCCGGGGCGCCAAATCGCGAAGTTGAATTTTTTCCCCGCAAAAACCTTCTCAGGAGTATTCTCATCAACTGCCCAAAGTTTCATGGCACTCGGATGAACGGTGTCGAACTGCATCCGATTTTTCTTTTATATAAGCCGTACGTAGAGAAAAATCGCACCATCCCGGGGCTCCGCATGTGCCAAATTTAAAAAAGTAGAATCAGGTGCGTTCGCCGGCGCCCTGGTAGGGTACAATTTGGCGCCCCGTGCTATCCCGTGAGCTATGGCGCTTAAAAAAGTGTGATAGAATATGGATAAGAAAAAGTATTAAAGTCGTTAACTAAATTTAATCAGGATACATGTTCCGGGCTATACTCAGAATTTCTTCTAACCCCGCGGCAAAGCTAGTATATATATATATATATATATATATATATATATATATATATATATATATATATATATATATATATATATATATATATATATAAATAGATTTTCATTCGCGTGGGGGGGGGGGGGGGGGACACCATTAGGTGCCGCACCGGGTGACACCGTCCTAGCGACGCCACTGCTGTATACCCATATCCAAGATAGTGTAGTGGATTACTTTACCATGCTGTTTAGGATTTTGTGGTGCGAACAATTCAGTTTGAAAATCTAAATTTCTCTCGTCTAACGAGATTTCTGATTCAAAGTTAGAGAAAACGATACTTACAAACCCTTTTCAGAATAAAAATTGCACGTGTTTTAGAACACCGTGCATGATCTTGTGCGCTCTCTAAATCAACATTAAATTTACACAACTATTTAAAATTATGAAAATTAAAATATTAAGTACAACAATTATCTCATATCACCAGAAAACGTTAGGAAAACACTAGGCCTGTTTTTTTTAAATTGAATTTTGGTTTTAATTTTTGATAATTTACTTTTGTCAAACCTTGAAAAAAAAATTGGAATATTGAATGAACACTATTTAATCTAGAGTTAGCTTTTCTTTTACTCTTGAAAATATCTTCGTAACAATGGGTAAAGTACGAAACTCATAATTGCAAGGCGGTTAACTTTGTATTTTTACAAGAATCTCGCGCTATAAATAAACTTATATGAACTCACAATGACCCCAAAACTGAGGCCACAAAAAAAAAAAGGTTTTATGACGTGCACTGAACTTTGTAGTAATTAAAGACAATTGAACTCACGGTGAACCTTTGACGTTGTGGGGATTTTTCTCCCGCTGACGATCACACGCTATTTAATTGGAACTTTAATGCTTATTTATAACGTTTTTTACACATTCATAAAAAAGTAGGATTAGATCTAGTGTTTTTCTAACGTTTTTGTGTTTTGGTTGTGTTTAGAATATAATACGCTCAACCGAGTGTTAAAGTGAAACGGCGAATAAAGTACGCCACTAATGAGTTATACCATAAGTAGTCTTATAAATATTTAATGAGAAAAAATATTGCCTCACCCCCTTCTCCGCGACCTATAATTAAAACAATCAATGCACAAAAATAAGCAAAATGTACTAATTTTCAATTATTACGCCTATTCATTTACCCCCATTATTTTCTGTTTTAACAAATGCGCCCATGCCTTCTATTCCTCTATTTGCATCTCTTTTTGGTTGTTGATCGGTTAAAGCCAATATAAAAACGCCGTAGAAATCCTCTCTTTCATTGTAGCAGCATTCGTGAGCGCATTGAAGAAAGTTGATATATCGTGACAAGGTTGATTTAGTTTCAGTCATGACTATTGTTGCATATTTTCTTCATGCTTACCGCCGTATTACTTTTTTTTCTGTTGACAATTGGATTCACGCCTTACATTATTTTCTTCTTTTTCTGTTCTCAATTGGATTCACGCCTTACATTATTTTCTTAACATTACTTTTTGGTGATTAGTCGATTAAAGCCTCTAGGGCGCTGTAGAAAGTCCTCCTTCTCTTTTATTTGTGGGTGCATTTTTTCTTCCTGCTTACTGCCTTAATTCTTCTTACTAGTGTTCCCACATTGGATTCACGCCTTCCATTATTTTCTTTACATCACGTTGTAGAATGCCCTCTTTCTCTTTTATTTGTGGGTGCATTTTCATTCATAGATTTAGTTGCATAATTTTTCTTCTTGCTTACCGCCTTAATTCTTACTAGTTCCCACATTGGATTCCTGCCTTACATTATTTTCTTTACGTCGCGCTGTAGAAAGTCCTCCTCTTTTATTTGTGGGCAGTGGGCGCATTTTCAGTCCTAGATTTAGTTGCATAATTTTTTCTGCTTGGCTTACCGCATTAATTCTTAATGGTGTTCCCACATTGGATTCACGCCTTACATTATTTTCTTTACGTCGCGCTGTAGAAAGTCATCCTCTTTAATTTGTGGGCGCATTTTCAGTCCTAGATTTAGTTGCATACTTTTTAGCGCAATTTCCATTCTGGAGAATTGCGTTTATTAACTCGTCTTTTCTGGGAATGGATGAATGGATGGATGGATGGATGTGTGTCCGCAGCTTTAAGTCGTATCTCCTCCTCAACGAAGCAATATCGAGGACTAGTTCCAAAAGCAAATATGTTAAGCAAGTTACCAGGATGAACATAGGCCAAAAAAATTCCGGGTTTCTTTCATGGATTTCCCGGAAAAGCCAAAAAAAACTCGAAAAAAATGCAGTTTTTGGCCCATATCTCGGCAACCAGACCACTTAGTGACTTGAAACATGTACCAATCGATTCCTGCCATAATTTAGAACAATATTGCCGAAGAAAGTTTTCAAAAATATCCTTTCGTTCGGTCACAAATTTTTTTTTGAATTAATTAAAATTTGGACCGAATTAGTAGGCATTTCATCCAACCACACCACACGCGTCATCACGTTCAATGGCTGCGACATCACTGTCATCACGTTCGGTAGCTAGGCGCGCATTGGTTTTTAGTCATGTTACTCTATTGTAAATAAAACATGTAAAATACTGAATTTTTTAAAATAAAAAACGTTTTAATAACTAACCAATGGTTTTACTAACCCTGCTCTTGATTTACGCTACGACAGAGCTATTTTTAGATAACATAAGGAAATTGCGCTAAAATTGTCACTAGACTTTTTAAATTACTTGTTTCTTCTTGCTTACCGCCTTAATTCTTAATGGTGTTCCCAAATTGGATTCACGCCTTACATTATTTTCTTTACGTCGCGCTGTAGAAAGTCCTCCTCGTTTATTTGTGGGCGCATTTTCAGTCCTAGATTTAGTTGCATAATTTTTTCTTCTTGCTTACCGCATTAATTCTGAATGGTGTTCCCACTTTGGATTCACGCCTTACATTATTTTCTTCACATTAGTTTTTGGTGATTAGTCGAATAAAGACTCTAGGGCGCTGTAGAAAGTCCTCCTTCTCTTTTATTTGTGGGTGCATTTTCAGTCATAGATTTAGTTGCATAATTTTTTTCTTCTTGCTTACCACCTTAATTCTTCTTACTGGTGTTCTCATATTGGATTCACGCCTAACATTATTTTCTTTACATCGCGCTGTAGATTTAGTTGCCACTGGAGACATAATTAGTGTTACAACTTGAATTCGTTCGCAGCAGACTTCAGGACTCTGCCACTTATAAGGAGCATTCTCGCTGACGGGCAGAGATTTCTTGGCAAGTACACACACACACACGCAGTGTGACAGCCTTTTAGGACCGGCACCAGCAGCCCTAGCAGCCGACTTCAGGGCTCAAACTGCTTCAAAAGGGCGCTCACTCTCTCACGTGAACTGCAGACGATCTGAAGACCCCCAGCGGCAGACTTCTGCCACATCAAGGGCGCACACTCTCACGCGGATAGTGGTTTGGTTTTTTACCAGATTTTACGTTTTGAACAAACCCCCGCCCCACACACATTCCGCGTGTGGCCCAGTTTCTGTTTGGCCATATTTCAAGACTCTTGAATAACACTGTCTCCGTGCCTTCCGCTCTTCGGCAGTGTCTTGGTAGACTCCAAAAATCTTGAACAGTCACTACCCCAGGTACCGCGAGGCCATCAAGTGGCATGATTTTCTGGCAATTTCAACACTTCAAAAATCACAACCCATATTTGCCGAAAGCTCGCAACACCCTATACTGCACTTACAGGGTGCTACTAGCAGCAGACTTCAGGACTCTGCCACTTATGGGGCGCCTTCTTGTTAATAGGCAGTGATTTCTCTGGCAAGTACACGTACACACATACATACACTATGACAGCGCAACACAATTACCGACGAGTGAATGAAACGACAAAACGTTATTTCATTAGCAGCCAGATAGTGTGTCAGTCGCTTCATTGGAATCGGCCGGTGCATTAACTTCAAGACAAAAGATCTATGCAAGGACGTTCGG